ACAGTAAATAGATAACACTTTCCCACGAGAGAATTTTATGCGAGACCAATAATGAAGCCTTTTGGGGTAACACGAAACTGAGTTTCTGCAACCCTTGGGGACCTTGTGTATTATATTCCTTCCTGTTGTGCGTTCTCTAATTTATATGTTTCATGGAAATGTAGTCAGTCGTACGAAGTCATACGTACTTTTCTAAAAGTAATCATACATATTTGGTGTTTATGAACGACATTTAAAACTGCCTGTGAACTGTCGCTTTTTACGCGTGTATTATAATAAGTATTAAGTTATGTGTTACGTTAAAATTATTATAGTTATCCATATTTATAGAAAATTTCATTGAAATCTGTTCAGACATTTCAACGTGATTGACTAACAAACATCTTATCTAAATTTCACATTTAAAATACAGAAGAGTAGGATTGTTATAGAATAATAACTACTTGAGTTTGCATTAGTTAACTAATTAACAACTGCTCATAAAAATATAGCTGTCTTCTGTCTTTTTCTATTGTGTTCTAAAGTTCACATGAAATGGAAAGAGACAGAAGACAACGCAAATCATATGATTTCTTAGCCCACGTTTATTTTGTCTATGGCAACATTTATGGTCTATAAAAAAAATATTGGACTTAATATATATCTGTAAATGACGAGAATGTACTAAACTATCGCTCCCCCACTGTAATAAATAAAAAAAGAAATTTTCTTTATGTATTTTATTAATTACATACAATTATAATTATTCAGAATATATTTTACAATTAGGTTTTACAATATTCCTGTAATTGGATGTAAGTTTTTTTTTTTTTTTTAATATAATAATGAGTTGTTTGATGATTAAAAAATAATAGAATTGATATTGCAATCACGGTATCTAAAAAAATTTTGTTCGCAGCAGTAAGTTCGTATTTATAAGTATTAAAACAAATGGTTTTAATGTCATGTATAGTTCAAATAAAGGGTAAATTATGTTAAAAATAAAAATTGTTCCTAAAATAACTGACAATGACAAAGGGCAATGTGGGTTTGTTGGAACACACTGCGGAGAATTGTCACAATCTCTAACCAATGAAAATTTCGTTCGTTCAAAATTACTCAGGATAATTATAAATGCCACACCATCACACTAACTGTCTCAAAATAGGATAATTAGAGACAGTGTCTTAGTGTAGGCGTCCATTGACTACAATGACCGTTTACCATCAGACGGACAGTACGCTTGTGGCAAACACGCTATACGCTGGTGGTACGTCTCTGTGATATAAAAAAACAACCTACGACTCTCATGCCTAAATCAGTTTTAAATTAATGTTTTTTTTTTTTATTGTTCCAATTAATAAATAAAATCTAAATAGGTTATATCACCTTTAAATGTTTTAAATATATATATATATATATAGAAAAAACATGTTATTTTATTATATTTATTAAATTATTAATATTATAATTTCAGACATAGGACGCCAATGTTTTTTATATATATATATATATATATATATATATATATATATATATATATATAGTGTGTATTATTTGAACGTATTAAAATAATACTCAATATAAAAAAAATATTGACTGTTTTTTTTTTTTGGACGTTTTTAACAGTCGACCCTTCATCTAAATACTATTATGATCTATCTCAAATATTGATATTATTTTAATATATTACAAAAACCATGAAATAATCCATCTGTTAAATAATTTTCCCAGAATCCCAGAATTCATTATTATAATTAATATTCTTTGCTACATAAGAGTTAAATGAATCTATGCCTGAGATCAAAATTTTAGTACATGAATATTGAATAATCCATAATGAATATGTCGCCTGACTTCATTGAAATTCGTCGAGCAGGTTTCATATGATACATAGGCATATATATTATATGTAGACATAGATAGATATTTATATTATCAAGAATTTTTACCTATATTTATAAAACCTCTCGTTCCTTGAAAATGTGGTTATTTGATACTCAGTCACGTTGTTGAACAGATTTGATTGAAATTCGCTATACAGACAGACCCAATCTTAGATTTATAAATAGAATACTTTATACACTGATTCTGGCGAACAAATTTGTGGATTAAAGCTAGTCGGGCTAATCTAGTAAAAAAATGATAACGACTGTTATCTTTTGTAAGAATAACGTCTATGGAAATGGTATTAGTTCCCGACTGTTTTAAAAATAAATATTTTACATTTTTAATCAAAGTTGTTGTGTGTTAATATAATCAACATGAGTAGTTTTAAATGTCACTTACTAAATTAAAATTTCTCTAGAAGAAAAGAAACGACGCGTAATATACCTAATGTCAAAAGTAATATTAAATCAACATGGAAATTGACATCACTTGAAAATTGGCGAAAACGTCGCTAATAAAGATAAAAACACAGATTGAGAACTTTTACCTTTTTAAAGTCGATCGAATATGTTATTGTTCTCTTTGTAAAAAAAAATCAAAGCTCTTATACCTCTTTATAGTGACCGGACGTTATTGATATTCAAACCTAAGATTCGAACACCTTTTAAAACAAACACATCCGTATCACCGCGCATTAACTATAAAAATAATAACGTTTTATCTCTAATGCTGGTAGACGAAAAATCTACGTGCATATTAAAATAAACAGAATGGTATTCATGCAGTTATAATAAAAGATGTAATCGATTACTGATAAATCGACTGTGTTCACTTTTTCATATCGATTGCTCTAAATCGACAGATAGTGACACTATTATCATTACTATCAACGTGGAGTTTCACTTTATTTCTATAAATAGTCTAGCAAGATTATTGATAATATCGATATATATACAAAACGTTACTATAGATTAATTTATTATAATAAATTATATACTATGTTCGATAATACGAACATTTTGATTAATCGATAGTAATTTAGTCAATTATAATCGAATAATTTTTAATAATATATTTTTCGTATTATTAGACGATTATTCAATCGATAATATCTTCGACATTTATAATTGAACAATTATAACATATTATTTATTATGTCATTTATAAATTAGATTATTTTATTGCCTGAATTAAAATATCGATTAATATTCAGCACTTCCTGCCTATTAGGCAAGTCTAGCTGTAATACGTCTCTATAAGCAATGATTATAAATATGTATTCATTACAAATCGAGAAATAATGGCAACTTCACCAAAGTTATCGTTGTATTTTATCTTGACCAATATTACTCGTGCCTATAAAGACGGCGAGCTCTCCGTTCAACTTTATCCTGATAATCTTCTCCGGAAATTATCGGATTTAACTGTTCTAAACACAGATCAGTAAATATACTGATATCAATGGTTCTGAAGGATTTATCAAAATCTGTAATTTTATTACTGCATTTATTCTATTTAATAAAAGATGAAATGGAAATCATTAATATCTCAATCATTAATATTTTAAATAAGAATTCTAACAGTGAAATTAAACATTTTTTAATATGGATTATAATTCGACATAGATAAACTCATAAATATTTAGATTTTAGATGATTTAGAAAAGCTAGTTATTTGATTAGAATTATTTTGTATAATTCCGTTACCATTAGTTCGTGTGTGACTCGAATAAGGTAGTAAATCTCCGAGTACTCCATAGACTTCCGTAAGATAACACGTGTCTGAGTAGATAATAGATTTAGAAAAGTTTTATTGCCAAAGTCTGTACATGTACAACAGACAGCGTTGCCAGATTTGGTAAACTTTTCGCAATTTGGGATAAAAAAAATGAAATGAGAGTGATGGAAAAATTGTTAAATAAATGAAGAAATTTGGTAACTTTTTGACAGTTTACCAATTAAGGTAGTAGCCATAACTATAAATAACATATTGTATATCATAACGAAAATCAGTGAAAATAACGGCGTTTTTTTCGTCGTACGCGTAATAGTTATTAGTAGTTATTAATTAATATCTAGTCGTAGTGGCCCGTAGTAAGTTTGAGATTGGGTAAAACTGGAGGGAATCGTATAGATTTGAGAAAGAAATATTTGAAATCTAAGTAAAAAAAATACATCTAGCAAGCTGATGACGACCTAGAAAACAATTTGCAATGTAAGTTTACTGTGGTACAAATCAGTGAGCACAAGCCACCAGTAACAAGACAAGTAAATTCAAAATAAAAGCCAATACCAAGCTGAACTAATAATACTTATTAATATCTACATATATATATATATATATATATATATATATATATATATATATATTTCTTATGAAGAAACGCTCAACAGTAAATGTTAATAGGTTAGGAAGTGTATTCCCAAATGAACCCTCTTAAATCGTTTAATCTTATCATGTAATGTCTCTAATACCATAGAAATACAATAAGAACCATATTCCCATGGTAATACATAAGCTATTAGATTTACAATTAATATAAGGTTATAATTATAATTCCTAGTTGAATAAAATAGAAATACGGTTTATTTCATTAAGATTGTCTTAATTAAACAGTGTTGAATTGTCATTTTTTTTAACTCTATTGCCCAATTCAAAATGTAGAATCTACCAAGAAAAATCGACAAGAAACTTCACCATTCAGCCCCTTGAACGAAACTAAAATATTGCAAGTTAAAAATACAATGTACCAAATATCAAAAAAAAAATGTAAACTTACAATTAGAGATAAGTAATAAAGTAAATCAGTACTTGTACGAGCAGGACCAGTCCCAATTGTTCTTAAGCTTATAAGTAGATAGTATCGTTGACAAGTATGACGATTCAACCGACCATCATTGCATTCAATAAAATTTTTAGGAGAACAAGAGTAAAAAGTCTGAGTAGAAAAAAGAAGAAAAAGGAAGACTTATTTTGGATTCAACTTTTGCTATACAACTTTCTTGAAATAAAGTATTGTGAAAACTAAAAGTTGTGCATAATATATCAGAAGCGCCAGAAATGCAATTACAGATAGTGTAATAGTAAAACTGTAACAGACCTTAATAAAAATGTTTTTCTTTGTGTTTCAGTGCTCCCAAGTAAGCCGTTTTTCTTGGACGAAGTGGGCAATAAAGTGGAGGACAGAATTGGCCCTTACCACGAAGAGGACACTTTAGTGCTCAGCTGTCTCGTCATAGGAGGTATACATTATTTATTTAACTGGACACTACTATTGCTGAAGTTTAATTAAAACTTTATTTGTATTTGAACCGTTCCAAACATTACATTTTGCTAGTGGACTTCGCTCCGCAATAAAACAGACACTTCAATTGTGAATTATGTGTACTGGGTGTTGTTATTTTAAAAAGATGAATAATTCACCATTGAACAACATGATTTTTATAGACACATACTATGGATTTTTATAGATACACACATTTTGGTGTTATTCACCGAAAAAGAAAATTAATAATAATGTCACAGACATATGTACACGTATCAAAAAATAATTTATCATTTCTTTCACGTGGTCCTCTTCCATGTAATTCAACTAATATTAGAAACTAGCGCGTACGCGTAGTTCGCCCACGGAGCAACAATACAAATATAAATTTAAGCTCACGACTATAATTCTAGATGAGGCAATCAATGGCAAGTTCTCGGGTTTTGCCTTCATCCAATTTGCCGTCATTTCATCAAGTATATTTGAAACTAACCTTTAATATTTATTAATTGTTATAACAGTACTAGCTGTATCTCGCAACTCTGCCCGTATGAATCAATACCTAAGTATATGCAAAATTAAGGTATAATCTACCCGTGTACCCAATCTCATTATAATCCATAAATTTTTTTACGTATGTAATCATTACGTAAAAATGTAACAGATTTATCCATCCATCGTTAAAAATTTTCGCATTCACTATATTAATATGATTATTATATAATCTGATATATTATTTTAATAATAATTCAATTTTTTTTAATATATGAAAATATAACAAAGCCTGCGTTATTAGTTTACGCTTGCGGAATACCATTTAGGTGAGGATGAAGTCAGCTCCGTTGGCCAATCAAGAATTCACCAAGAATTAACCACTACGGTTCCCAGAAATTCAATCAGATAAGTTTTGACCCCGCATCTCTTCAGTATCTAAATCAACTGTATTTCCAGTTACACAAACGATGGGATACTGCCAAATTTTACTTATGCTAATAAAATTTTTAAATATTTGCCTTCACATTATTGCGTCATGCTTAATAATTCAATAATAATTATATATATTTTTAAATCGAATGTTCCCTAATTGTATACAGTAAATTTGATGGAAATAGGTTCTTAATGCTCAGACAAAAACGATAATGGCTCTCAAAGAAATATACACTATGTATAAACCTGAGACGTCTTATGTTACTCTACTCATTACTTTCGTCCTTTAATTAGATCACTCCGGAACATACAAATGCAACCTTTTTCTTTCGTAATTAAGTGATTCCTGCGTAATAACATAAATTAACCCCTAACTAATAATAATATTCGCAGAATATGTTTCTTAGAATATGAAGTAGATGAATAAATAACTTCACGTGAATTCTCGTAAGTATAATGATATATTCAAGGATCTCCCATCTCGCAATTCTAACTACGTAAATTACTTCGTAAACAGCAAAACTTAGAATCACAATTATTAAATTAAATCGAAGTGTATGCCTAATTTATGCCTTTAATTTTTTTTTTCTTTTCATTGCGTCATTTTCTTTAAAGTATTTGCTAGTAATACATATAGCATAAACCCCTTTACAAAAAAATGGCTATAAATACCCTCTTTTATGAATTCTTCGAATCTATACTAATATTATATGGAGGAAATATTTAATCGTTTATTTGTTAGTCTATAATAGATAAACTCAAGAACTAATCAACGGATTTTAAAATTCTTTTCCTATAGAAAGCCACATTATTAGCGAGTAATATAGAAATCCCAATAAAAATTACAATAATGTATAACAGTGGCTTTTGAGGGATGTTTCCGCTACCAGGCTGCGAAATGCTGAAATAATATACCACCACCGATACGATTGTCTAAAACTAAACAAATTTTATATAAAAAGCTTAAATTTATTTAATTATTAAACAAAAAATTGGCATACGTCATAGGTGTGTAGCGGAAATATTTATCGCTTGAGTGCTGGTATCTGACTGAGAATGACCTCTGACTATTCTATATCTCTCTTCTAATAGTATCTGTTATTAATTTATTTAGAATAAAATATTAAATAGTTGTGAATGTAATGGACACACACTATTTTATCCATATATTGTTTTTGTTAAAGAATTTCGCGGCTGGCTTTTGGCCACAACAGGATTGATGTCCTGTGTTTTACTCTTTTCCTCAAAAAATGTTTGCCCTCACAAAGCAATAAACTGAGTTGTGACCATTTTGTGTCACTATAACACACGCACAAAAGGTAAAAATTGTGTTACTTTTTTATGTATTTAACTTTTTTTAATATATATGATTTTATCTCTTTTTTTTTGTGTATGTCTATTATTAGGTCTGTTCTTATTTGTGTGCTGTAAGGCAAATAAATTATATATTTATCTATGTAGCCAAATGTATAAAAAATTTGCCTATTAAAGCTAATATGAAATACTAATTTATTTTTGTGTTAACTATAACTGTATATATACTAATGCGGATAGCTAAATGGTAGTAAAATAAAAGTGTATTTTTTATATAACGCAGAATGACAAACAGGCTAAATGCCTGCCTGGTAGAAAATTGCCACTTTCCGTCAACTATACAAGTAGAAATAAACATCAACTTACTATAATGACTACAGTACACCACAAACGTTGCCATTCCTCAGAAATAATTTTGCTCTGCATCCTGTAATTTCACTACCATTACCTATCTTCCAGAACACAGCTGCTTAGCAACAGAAATATAAAGACAGTTGTACCCATGCAGATGAGTTTTGTACAAAGTCTTTGGTGGTAGAACAAAGGAATCTAAAAGTTGATACAGAGTCAGAGCATCATCATCATATCACCCATTATTTGTCCACTGCTGGACACGAGCCTTCCCCATAAGGAAAGTTTTGCCAATAGTTGCCACGCTTGGCAGGCGGGTTGCCAACCGCAGTTAGGCTTTGGTGATATTTTAACAGGGACGCTGCTGCCAATCCTTCGATTATTAAATTCCCTTAATCGCCTCTTACGACACCCACGAGAAAAGAAAGGATTCTATACCGGGACTACACGGCAGAGCAATAAAAGTACCTAACCTACGTTTATCTTTAAAAATGTCTTTCTTTGATAATATAAATAATAATATTGTATAGAAAATTTCCATTACCAAAGTCTATAGAATATTACATCACGTTACGTTGTATTCGTCGCGCAACTCAATATCTAAAAACAGACAAAACAGATTATCTATCACTAGAAGCCTTTAATTAAATGTAAAGTAATTGTAAAAGTACTCAAGCAATCGACTTTTGTACAAAATTTACTAGAGGGAGACTTTGTACAAAAATCGATTGCTTGGGTACCTCTGTTCCATTCGAGTTTCAACCGTGAAGCAGCTATGTTTGCACGACTGTGTTTCGGTTTGAAGAGTGGGATATGGATATGTACAGAGGATTAACACCTGAGTCCTCAGGAATGGCAACGCATGGAGAGTATCATGAGCGAAACAGTATACTCTGTTATGTCCATGGTACTGCTCATGTCTATAGGCGACGGTTACCACTTTCCATCAGGTGGGCCGTCAGCTTGTTTGCCATTCTAAGTTGTATAAAAAAAATTTGTGTTATAATTATATATATATATATATATATATATATATATATATATATATATGAGCCGCATGCTCGCTTGCCCCCTGCATAGTAAAAAAAAAATTAGTTATAGTTAATACCTAAATAATAAATGAAGTAATGTAGTTATGAAGATGCACTGGTATGTACGGATGGATGTTTATTATTTTTCACTCAAAAAGTACTAAACGGAATTAAATGAAATTTGAGGCATGCATTATAGGATATGAGTTAGATCCTAATTTAAAACATAGGATCTTTTATATACTAATTTACGCAGACAATAAATACGGAATTTAGCTAGCGAAGTGTACATTTTTGCAGAATGTAGTCAGAGTTTATAGAATTATCATTAAAAACGTCAACTTAAATTAAGTATTATTCTAATTCAGCTTTTACTTTACATATTACATCTAATAAAAATTAAGGTATACATGGTTGGTATAAATATTGGACCGAGGGAAAATTTTCAAAAATGAAAGTAAAAGACATTGGTAGGAAACTTTTTAAGCGAATTCAATTCGCACACGCCGAGTATTTTTATGGAAATGGAGGGAAGCAACAAACCCGCGATTCACCTGACAGTAAGTGATCACCTCACCCATAGGAATTCAATAACACCCAAAAACACGATACGTTCCCGAGCTTTTAAAAATACTCTAACCTTACCGAAAACATTGCAGCAGTTGTTTTTCCATACATACATTAAATAAATTTAATATTGTGTAAAATATTTGGACAAGCTTTAATATTGTAGACCGGGAAGAAAGGGATTGTTAGTAATGGAGTCTAAGAATCCCATTGCTAGCAATATACCCAACCAGGTCGACCTCCTCGCGGTTCTCCCTGGAAACTATCATGGTTAATTCCTGATGAATACATCATGATGGACTAACTGGCCTGTTTTCATTCTCATCTATCACCCTTCACTGGTGCTCCGCCATCGTATCCCGTTAGCGCAGGCGGGGTTACCATTCCATTTTCAACCATCAAAAAAAAAGTAAAAAATATTGTAGACCACAAAAATTAAGATCGTATCAGTTGAATTTTAATGTATGACGAATGATACGATGTTGAAATTACCGGTTCACGTTAATTTAAACAACTCCAATTTCAAAGCACTTCCATGATAGGATCTCAAAGAGAAGCAATGTCTTTCAACTGTAAATAAACAAATAAATAGGCTTGTTTATTATAAAGTAAACAAATATATACAATAAAATATCTAGAATGGAATTACGAGTATACCTATAAATGTTTTTATACTTGTTTATTATATAAATTTATGTCTGGCTACTTTTTATCTTGGACAATCAATTTGTCTCGATTACGTATACAAAATCGCGGACATGACTATACTAAATCTTAATATATAAAAATTTTATATTAATATACACATCCACGCTAATCTCCGAACAGCTAAACCGATATTGGTCAAAATTTGTATATATGTATTGTTTGCTCCAACTTGAAAGGCAGAATAGCTTTTATCTCAAAAAAAAAAAGTTTGGCCCGATAGGGGATAAAACAACGTCTATGGAATCAGTTAGGTCTCATTTTATTATAATATTATAAAACGAGATTGTTTGTTATCTGTTGGCACCTTCCTTTCCCGTCAGTGTCGTAAGAGGCATATATGGGAATTTTATGGTCGGGGGTTAGGCAGCAGCGTCTCTCTTAAAACATCACCAAAGCCTAGCTAAGGTTGTTCACCTAGGAAGGTTGGTTGGCACTAAGCATGGTAGGTTTTGTTAAAAGCCCCCAAAATCCCTTTTGGGGCCAACGTTCAGCAGTGGCTGATATGATTATAATAATCATCATCATTTGGCACATTAGTGGTTCAACCAAATGTCATGAAATTTATCATACTAGTAGTCAATAGAAGCCTTTAAAAATAACACAGAAAACCAGAATAATTCACGTGAGCAAAGTCACGGGCAAAACTAATATTTTTCAAGCAACAATATTTAAATCTACTACTTTATTTAACAAAAGTGACCTTAATCTAAGATAATTAGATTTAGATGTTTATTTTTCTACGTTAGCTGCTTGTATTACCAGAATGAATGATTCCCTGGAGCCATAACCCTAAAAGCAAAACCATTTTATAATATATTACTGGAATCAGTAAAATGTGGTCCGTATTAATGTATAATCTTCAAGATTATTCTTCTAATGTGTTAATTTTTGTTATAAAATAAATAATTTATGTACGTAAAAACATAAAGCGTAATTGCACATTAACGCTTTAATTTTATTATTTTAATGCGTAAATTTCATTATTGTAATTCATCTTTATCTTATTATACTCCTAAAATTAAATAATTACAGGTATATAAATACCAACATTAATTGTATACAGTTGTAACCCGAAAACAACACGGCTTCGCGGTCAAATTTAAAAATTAATTAACACAAAGTAAACGGAGACTTCTGGGTCCAACCATCTACGTAACTAAGTAAAATATATACAAGTACTCGTATGAAAAGGTATTATTTGTCCAGAGTAGCCGAAGTAGACACATGTGCAGGCTACCGTGGCTGAACTTTGTAAACTTTATCTTTGTAAAAGGAAAACAAGTTCTAATTTTGAATCCTGTAAAGTTTTCTTATATATTAATTTCATGTCGTTAACTGTACAGAAAAATAAGAATATACTTATACTATTTATTACATATTATATTATATTTATTATATACATTATATATTACATCTGAAAATAAATTTCGCGAATAAAAAAAATTTGAGCCTCTCATCTAGTATCAGTAAAACGGCGCGTAATGATGTGAATATTATTATCTTTTTGTGTTATTTTTATGTACAGCTAGTAACATAAAATGACATCAGGTGAACCGTTTGCTCGTTTGCCTCCCTAACAATAAAAAAATCTACCCTTGCTAAAAAAGAAATTTAACGGAAATTTCGTGCATCAATAATTCAAAAATGATATAAAATTTTCCCATACTCATCTCACTTTCCCATGCTCACGCCATCATTAGACGTGCTGTCTTAGTAACATATGGAAGGTTCAATATTTTTTTTATGTTTATGATCCATTTTTCTTTGGTTCCACTAATAATTTTCAACCCTCTCTCAAAAAGATGCTAACGATATTCATTTCACCCTATATATATATATATATATATATATATATATATATATATATATATATATATATATATATATATATATACATATATATATATATATATATAACATAATATACTCTACTAATGTTTGTAAGAGATGCATAAAAATAGAAGCCAAAACTTATTTAGAAATTATTATTTGGAATTTTTATGTCGTGTTTTATGTTTCGACATCACGCAAAAATAACTACACCAAAAAATTTTATTAAGTTTATACAATTGTATTGCTAAACGTCGAACTTATATTTTTTTTGTATATTTTTTGATACGTCATCTATAAGTAATCTATTTTTTTTTTCTAACGCATCAGGATAGCGTAAGTTATCGGAATGGTTTTTTTTTTGGTCAATTTATTATATGAAGACTGTAGAGAAATTAAAACAAAATTTTACCATGAAAAAATATCATATACCCATACGGAAAATATAGTCAAATTATTATCAACCTACTTACCAAACAACGAACACGAATATACGAGTATATTCTAAAGCTAAAAATCGTACATAACTTCTGTTTTCCAGTTAAATTTATTTTCAATTTCTCATTTATAAATTTCTTTCCTATCTACCGGTCGCAAACCGCCGAAAGCTTTTATCGACAAGTCAGTCCACTTGTGACAAAGGACGCGGAAATGGCTCGCAATCAGTTACTATGAATTTTGATAGTTTGAGGAAATGACAAAGCTGGCTACGAACTAGTGATGTTCCGAGTCAGACTGACTCGAGTTCGAGTTCAATATACAGAATTCGAATATACGGTATTCGAATATAGATCTCGAGTACTGTACTCATGACTACTCATGTGTTTATCATAAGTTTTATATATTTATATATCAGCATTTTATTAATCATCATTATCATCATCATGTCACTTATTAACTATCCTAACCACGATGGTTTCCAAGGAGAACAGCGTGCAGGTCAACCAAATAGGATTATTACTAGCAATAGGTCAGTTTTTTATGGGAAAAATGGAATGGCGCCTGCATTACACGTGTAAGTCGACCTGATAGGGTATATTACTAACAATGAGGCTTTTACATCTCTATTCCTAACATTCTCTATTTTAAATTTATTTATTTTACAAAACCAGATACAGCGTTACTTATACATAGTACTTACCAAAGTGTCAAGCAGTGTATTGGTTTGATGAAGCTCTCATATTGAATTTATATAAATTATTTCTTATACCTAATATCCATCATGCTAACATATATGCTTACTAATATATTAAAAAAAAATTGCCTAAAGATGCCGTGTTTAGACGTGAAACGATGTCGCAAAACTTGCGTGAACATCATTATGTTCTCGCACTATGCAATCAAAGATTGATGGCTAATTTGAAAGATTGTTGAATTTCTGGTTTTAATGTTAGTGCTCAATCTTCGAGTGTTGACAGTAAAAAAAAAATAATTCTAGTCAAATAAAACATGAATTTCCGCAAGATAACGTTTTGTTTAGTAAAATATGCTATTTATTTATTGGCATATATAATTATTTATAACTATATTGCATATATACATGCACGCACGTATGCAAGTTAACACGCACGCACGCACGCACCGTCGCACTCTCATACACACATGTTACAGCCAAATTAATCATATAATTAAACAGTACTTTTTATAATTCCCGCTCCGTATATATGTAGGTACTACTAAATAACTTTATATTATTTGTACTACTACTAAAGTATTAAACGTGGTTAGATTTCTGTCTCTTGTTACCGATGGTCACATAAATTTTAGATTTTTAATAGTCTTTATCGTCACCAAGAATTTACATTGACACACAATATATTATTTTTTAATCTGACTAGAAAACCACTATAAAATACAATAAATTACATGAAATTACTCGACCTTGATTCAAACACACGTCAGTTGTCAAAGTCTTGTTATTAATTTAACGTTATTATTCTACATTAATTGGTACAATTATGACCGAACTACAAAAAAATGGCCTTTACTTTCATTGTAATTACCTTTGTCACTTTGTAGTGTGTATTTCAGTAGCACATACACCTCCAAAAATTACTTAAAGAAATATATAGAATAAATTTAATAAATCTATAGTAATAGTAATATATTTTTTAATATATATCATAATATGTTGCCATTCCTAAGAATATTGTGCCTTATTACACTTACCCAGTAATTTCTTTACCATATCTTGCACTTAAAACAATCATACAAGCACTTTTATTACTATTTACTTGGCAACAAAAATACTTGAGGCAAAAGTGTCATGTAGACAACTTTGTACAAATATTTTAAATTCACAACCGGGACTTAAACAGTGCCTACATACCTGATTTTTATTGCCGACCTATCAACTTTGATTGCACCACATCATCACACATCAGGACATTAAGTCCCGACCCTGAATTTAAAATATGTTAAAACAGTTTAAAATTAAGTCGCCTTCTGGTGATTAAAACACTTAACTTTTACTGTTTTATCTTAAATACTTCAAATTGCTTATAGTTACAATAATAAACCGTTTTTTTTTGTTCCCAGGCCGTCCACCACCTCATATCAGCTGGTACTCTGGCAGCACCCTAGTGGACGCTTCTGACGGTGCAAGCGACATTCCCAGTGTGAAAGAGAACGTGCTATATCTACCTCTCAATCGAGACACGCCAGCAGAGCTCTACTGCAAAGCTTCCAACACTGATCTGGCACCACCGTTAGAGGCCTCTGTACATATTGAGATATATGGTAAGAATTATTTTCATTAATTACCTCGCCCGAAAAGAAAGGACTGAAAATTAAGAAAAAGATAACCTATTATCTATGCTGGCAAAAAAGCATGATACAGTCAGCATATAAAGTTAATAAATACTTGCAGATTTCCAAAATATATAAACATCGTTATTTATATTACATAAAGAACTCAACAAAATTAACGCAGTATTTGGACTACAGCATGAGTTTCTTCAAAAACGTTTTCTCAGAGCGCACATTGGTGTTGCAAGCAGGCAACCGTCCGTAGGCTACGGTAATCATTTACCATCAGACGGTCTATATACTATAATTCACCACTGTACCAATTATTTAAAAAAAAAAAAACATTATTACAATATCTATCTGTAATATTTTTATTATATAGGTAACAGATTGTCTTAAAACTAGAAAAAGTTTTAAATCCAAGACAAAACAAATGATATTTTTAACAGAAAGAGAGCATCTTTAGTAACACATTTTATAACAAATGCAAATAAACACGATGTTACTCGTCGTCAAAGTATTCCCATTCTATTCTATGAAACTTCTGCGTTAGTATCACCGCTTGGCTGATTTACAGAGGAACGTCTGCAGTGCATAAATGCAAGCAGCTTAATAAATTTAATGCAACGGTACTCAAATATAAATAGAAAATTTATATTCTTGTATTTTAAAATATAATAGGTTTATACTACTAGTATAGTAAAGAATATTAGCTTATTTAGGATTATTTTCCAAAGGAGGCATAATTCATTAAAAAAGTCATGAGTATGTACTCTCGTATATGTTTTTGTGAAGATTCTCTAGAATCCTCGAGTGAACACCGTACATTTCTGATGTGAGCACGGCCGTTATCCTGTTATTCACTACCGGTAGAATCGCAAAAAAAATATTCAATTTAAAAGAGCTTTTGTATATGCCTATTTAAATAAAGATTATTTTCAATATAAATCACATTGTTTTGTCGTTCTATATTATTTATTAGTATTTAAAATACATATTGTAATCTACGATATATAATATAATCTATTTGTGGACCGAACATTTAAATTCAATCAGTCGTTTCAGCGGGTATCAAATAGCGATTCAAATTATTGTACATTATATTTATTTATACTACATTTAGTATAAATAAATATACCATTGTATATTAGCATTTTAATTTACTGTCTATATACATGAAGATTAAGCCCACATCTTTTTACTATTAATGTGAAGTGTTTAGACACAAATAATTACAATAAAAACACATCCATCCATCCTTAGGGATGGATGGATGTGTTTTTATTCTTTCACACAAAAACTACTGAACGGTTATGATTGAAATTTGGTGCACGGATATATAAAAATCTAAAACGTGTAATATTTTATACAATGATTCACGCGGGCGAAGCTGCAGAATATAACTATATAAATTTATAGAAATTAGAAAAAATAAAGAAAATAGAGAAAGCAGAAAAAATAGAAAATAAATAGAAAATCTAGAATTTTTTTATCTTTAAATAATTTATATTTTTTAATTACTTGTTCTTGATAATTATAATAAATTAAAGGATTTATTAGTTACTAGTTTATAATATTAGTAATCTCATGTTCTGTCCACTAAATGACGAATTCATTATGTCACATTCACATCAAAACAGATTACGACAGTATTGAACCCTGCATACAAATTGCTAATAATTACGAAAGCATATACATTTCGTCTCAATCTATCGATTTATCAATTCGATCGCGTTACATAATTACAGTTACATGTAAGCAAACAGCCGAAATGGAAAATTTTATCGAGCCCTTAAATCTAAGGCGAGACTTTGCCTCCCATTGTGTGCTCTACCGCTTGTATAACGCATTGTGTTCTAAGAAATTGTTTTAAATCATGCCCATACCTACCTTTTATCACCGCACCTCTCGCCATCGACAGGGAATTCATCCTCACACGTTTTAACCTAAATGGTCATATAAGGACTATACGCTTGTTTGCCACCTTTGTAATTTAAAAAAATTAAATGTAATTTCAAAATAGGACATATAACAGACTTTTTATATAGATGGAAATTAAATAGTAAGTTATTGTTCCATTTGTAGGGTTACTATTAGCACAGATAATATACTATACTATTAGTTACCCTTGCACTACCAATATCGCTAGCGTGACTCTAGCGAGAGATGAAAGGTGAGAATAAAAACAGGTCAGTCGGCCCATCGTGACAAACGATATAAGAATTAATCACGATATTTTACAGAGAAACCGCGTAGCGCTCAACCTGGTAGCATATATGATATTTTTTTGTTTTAATGAGTGATAATGGAACGGTTACCCCGCCTGTGCTATCGGTATACACTAGCGGGGTACCAGTGATGGATGATAAATGAGGATGAAGTAGGTCAGTTAGCCCATCATGACGAATTCAACAAGAATTGTTCACGATGGTTTCCAGGGTGAACCACGTGGAGGTCGACCTAATAGGGCATATTGCTAGCAATGGGACTGTCAAACTCCATTGCTAACAATCCCTTCCCCCATATGATATATTAGGTGTTTATAGGTTTTTTTATGTGATAATGAAAGTGGTGATCGCCATCTATAGAATGATAATATCATGAATAGCTTAAACATTACCGAATTTTATTACGTCTTTTACCTTGTAGTTTGTCTTTGGTTATTACCCACGACTTTGTCTGCTTATTAGGAATAATATGTTCATTGACCATGATAAAATATACCTATGTCCTTTTATATCTCATATAGTACTTCTATATCAAATTTCATACTGATTGTTTAAGCCATTAAGGCGTCAAAATGTAACAAACAAAGAAACAAACTCATTTTCACACTTTGAATATTAATAAAGATTAAATTTCTAAGTATGATTAGAACGCTAAAGGAGTGTGTAACAAGTGGAAAATCACACAACGGTCATAAATGCAATGTAAAGAAATTCACAAAATGCAATAGAAGGAAACAGTACTCTGCGAATAGCTGTATATATAATATTCTTATCTTACCTAACATTTAATTTGTTGAACATGGAAGGCATCTTCCCATAAGAAGACGATATTGCCTACTATAACTATGTCTAAACGGCTTGATATTATTTTTCCCCAATTTTCCTTCTCTTGCTCCAGTGTGTTTTCTTCTCTTAGTCGTTCTTACAAAATTATAGACTTAGTAAGATAATTTTGTTTTTTTTTTAATACAACTATGATTGCAAACAGGCATACGGCTCGGCTAATGATAAACGGTGTTATATGTTAGCTTATGGATGCCTGTAACACCAACGATGTCACGCGCGCGTTGCCTACCCTTGTAATTGTACGATTACATACGTTATATTCTATCTTCCCTAAAAAGAGGTTAAAAAAACCCCGTCACACCACACGGATAAACCATCCTATTCTAAAACGTAAACGCGAGTTCTTTTGTTTTTACCTGTTGAAGCGGAACTCTAAAATATTAAATCCCTTTACTCTCCATTTCGGGGTTCTAATTAAAATTATAAACCGGTGAAATGGTGCTGTAAAAACAAATTGAAAAATTAATATCCCACAATTTTCCACTGGAGTTCCTTATTTTTTCAAATTAATAAACGAACACTACCCAGAATTTGCGAAGGAAAGTTGCCATAATTATATTCAGAAATTAGTAGTTAAAAAGCAAGTGTCGATGTAAAAATAAAAGATAAAATATGTCTATGATTTCCTTGTCTATTCCAAACATGTAAGAATTTCATGATAATTAGTGAGCTTTCTTTTTTTTTTATGAAATTGTGTACCCGCCTGCTTTATCTGTTTACACTGACGAGGCACCTATGACAGTGAGTGATAATAGGTAAAGAAAAAGCTAAGGTCAGTTGACCTAACGTGACAAATTCCACAATAATTAACCACGATGGTTTCCAGGTGTAACCATGTAGAGGTCGACCTGATAGGGTATATTGTTAGCAATAATATTGCAGAGCCATCTAACAGCTAATTCCAACAAAATTAACATATAAATCTTCATTATGAAAATATACAAAGGTTCTTGCTAATCAGTCAAACTTTCATTTTCAAAAGACTTCAAAAACACGAAGGCTCTCAAGTCGATTCTATAATTTTAATATTTGTTACCTCATAATACCTTCAAATATAAACCGATTTGGAAAATTCTTTGTTTTTATCTAAAAGGATATACTTACAGATTGGTCCCATAGAAATTTTATCAATCGGTTTTATTTTATCAATCATTTTAATCGATTCACTAGTTTGTTTTTTAAATCGAAGTAACTAGTTTACCACGATTGTAGTCGGTTCTTCTATCGGATTATAATCTTAGATTAAATATGTACCAGAGGGAGACTTTGTACAAAAGTCGATTGCTTGGGTACCTCTATCCCATTCATGTTTCAACCGTAAAGCAGTTGTGTTTACATGGCTATGTTTCGGTTTGATGGGATATGGCGTGAATTTACTGGGTACGGAGGAATAACACCTGAGTCCTCAGGAATGGCAACGCATGGAGGGTATCATGGGCGAAACAGTATACTCTGTTATGTCCATGGTACTGCTCATGTCTATAGGCGACAGTTACCACTTTCCATCAGGTAGGCCGTTAGCTTGTTTGAAATTCTCAGTTGGTTAAAAAAAATTAATATCATCATTACTTCACTTCGATTTTGACATTGTAAGGACATTCCATAATGAATCACATAAAAATCTATCAATTTTACAAATGATAATACATACAGTTTCAGTACAAAACGTGTCAATCCAGTGGGTGGAAGGTGTGATAGGACACACGCTCCGGTCCGGTAGACCAGCTGTTGCACAGTGCACCGTCCACGGGTCCTACCCGCAGCCCATCTTGGAGTGGTGGTTGGACCGCCAACACCTCACCAAACATAGTAATCAGGTACGATTTATCAGTCACATGTACCAAATTTGTCCGTGTAATCCCGGCATAAAATAGACTATCTCTTCCTTTTCTGTGGGCGTGTGACTAAAGGAACTTATTGGTAGAGGGATGGGCAGCAACGTCTCTCTTGAAACATATTTAAAAGCCTAAATATGGTTGCCAACCCGCCTGCTAAGCGTCGAAACTACTGGCAAAAACTCCATATGGGGAAGAGAGAGACATTGTACAAAAGTCGATTGCTTGGGTACCTCTGTCCCATTCGTGTTTCAACCGTGAAGCAGCTGTGTTTGCATGGCTGTGTATCGGTTTGAAGGGTGGGATATGGCGTGAAATTACTGGGTACAGAGGAATAACACCTGAGTCCTCAAGAATGGCAACGCATGAGGGGTATCATGGGCGAAACAGTATACTCTGTTATGTCCATGGTACTGCTCATGTCTGTAGGCGACGGTTACCACTTTCCATCAGGTGGACCGTCAGCTTGTCTGCCATTCTGTTGTATAAAAAAAAATACGTTCAGTAGTAGACGGTTAACGGCTGAAATTATAATGAAAATAATATGTACTAATTACCATAGTTTCAGTTATTACCAAGTTATGCTGTTTTTTAAGCAATTTACATGGAATATTTCTCTAGATAAATAAACATTAAATTCAGATCATTGATAGGTACAACGCTTATAATAGTTTAAACGATTTTGCAATTTTTTCAATTAAGGGATTTAGGATTAAATGAAATAGGACAATGGCTGTCTTTCTTTTTAAATGACTGAAATTAGATTGGTTTATATCGTAATAAGTAATAGAGTTGTATAATATTAAATAAAATCACTTTTTATTTTCTAGTTACCTATACTTTACTCCTCTTAATATTTTATTAAAAAACGTTACGTCTTCCTTCAATAAATTAAATCAGCTTACAATATATTGAAAGCACTCTCAATCATGTTACACGTAACATTCGTGTTAACAACCCGAATATAAGCAAATTAAATTGATTAGTTCACATCCAATTTTAGTAGGTACGTGGGCACCGCTTTTATACGACCAATGCTTTGATCATTGAATTAATTAAAGAAAACTATTTGCTCTGTTAAAGCCTACGCCGCGTGAATCTGGAAATTGTATTAAAATAGTTGCCCGTGACAACATCGCATGGGTGTATTAAACTCAAATTTTTCACTTTCCCAAACAATTTTTCTAACATTTTTTTCATGCAAAGCTTGTTCTGACAATTACAAACAAAATAAAAAATAATTAGGTACAGCCGTTCTGAAGTTATGCGCTTACATATATTCAGCAATTGTTTTTTATTTATTTATTTATCTATCTATCTATCTATCTATCTATCTATCTATCTATATATATATATATATATATATATATATATATATATATATATATATATATATATATATATATATATATATATAAACGAATCTATGGATTTACGCACTAATTCCAAGGGAAATTTCGCCACTGCTTACACCAAAAATTTTTTAAGAGACTCAATGTCGCCGTGTCGTTTAGAGCAGGCCATGTCCGCCATGTCCTCTAAAACTGACCATAATCGGACCGGACTGATCTGACTGATCAATCCACTTTCTTTAATTGAAAAAATTATTTAAGGCATGTCCTGTATATCAATGATATTATATTTTATAATATGCGACAGAGTCCTAGCGGGAATCTTTGTTTCTCGCGATAAGATTTTTAGCTTCCTAAAGGGGTATCGACGAATTCTGGCTTTAACAGCATTAACAGCCTTTGTAGTTTTAGCAGCACGCGGCCGCCCCGATCTTTTCTGGTCTTCGACAGAGGAAGTGTTGTTGTATTTGTTGATAATACAATGTACAAACATACGGCTGATACCAAGCTTTTGAATTGTCTGGAATATGACCGACTTTGTGCAAGGAGATCACTACAATCCTACTTAACACCCCATTTCATATTGTAATTTGATAATGAAAACGAAAAAATACGTGAAATGGCGCGAAATCATTCGAATCATTTAAAATAATAAATGTGTCCCAAATTCAAAATAATTAAAAAGTTGAAAAAAGAAAAGTTTTTATGTAACAGTATTTATGGCCAGACTAGTTATAGACAAAATTTTTTTCATGTCTATAGCCCATGCGTTACCGCATGATGCTGATAATAAATTTGTAAAACCATAGTACATATTTTAAAAACGATCTAATAACATGAATTTTAAAAGAAATATTTTTTTTATGTTCTATTGCTTATTTCCAAACTCGGTCATTATTTTTTTCGAAAATACTCAGACTTTTAAACCCTGTATTGCCGTAGATTTTAGTTTAAGGTAATAACTTTTTATTTATTATATTATAGAGTTGGAACAACTTGACACGTACTTCGATATCTTACCTGGAGCTGATCCCGTCTGTGGCGGAGAATGGTGCGACCCTTGCATGCGTAGCCACCAACACTGCGATGGCGCCAAGCCGGGGCTCCAAAGCTGACGTCATCAAACTTAATGTTACCTGTAAGTCAAATGTTACAATTAAGATCTTGTAACTTATAGATAAGCCAATATATCATGTTAGCAAAGTATAATCCAAATTATTATTTTAAAATATTCTTTTTGGATGGATATGAAGGATCTCTTTATTGCCTTTACAATATTATAATAAATATTAAAAAAATTCTTTTAAAAATAATTCTAAAAATAAACAATACAATATCTCATGTAGTACTAAAAATGAATTAGGTTCTCAATTCGAGAATATTTTTTTATGAATATAACGTTTTCTTCAAATAAAATAAAGTTTTTTTTTGTGAAAAATATCTTAATTTATGTATTAATGACAAACTATTTTATTTATTACAGATAGCCCCATAGTAGAAATTGCCAAATTAGGAGATGGGGACCTAAGTGATGTAGCTGAATTGGATCCATTGCATTTAGAATGCGAAGTCCAAGCAAACCCACCCGTAAATAAATTTATATGGTATCATAATGTAAGTATACTTTGTAATTTTTTTTTTTATTATTATATTATTATAAAAATTCTACTATTTGTCCTTGCTTCGTTTACTACTCGTATTATCACTATTCAACTCTGGAATATCTAGCGAAATCACAAAATTTTTCTGTATCATTTGGGTATATGCAAGCGATATGAGACATTATGACGCAAAGCGCCGTCTTCCCCCTGCAGAACACAGACACACTCAGTAAATTCATAAACTTCCCGTTATACATATATATATATATATATATATATATATATATATATATATATATATATATATATTTGGTTATAAATACTTAAGTCCTTCACTTAAAGGTCATGTAAATCGTTTAGTAATTTACTTCAAAGATCCTTTCATCTTCGTTTATAAAAAAATAGCCATAAAACTCAATAATTCTGGTGTAAGTACACCAGAGGGCTTTTTTTTTTGATGGGTGAAAATGGTATGGTAACCCCGCCTGCGCTAACGCTGGCGGGGCACCAGTGAGGGATGATAGATAAGGATAAAGCAGGTCAGTTAGCCCATCGTGACGAATTCAACAAGAATTGTTTACGATGGTTTCCAGGGGGAACCACGTGAAGGTCGACCTGGTTAGGTATATTACTAGCAATGGGATTCTCAGTCTCCATTACTAACAATCCCTTTCCCCCCTACACCAGATGGCTCACCTTTATACTATTAGTAGCATTAAAGATATTCAAAATATTTACTTACAGGATAGTGAAATTGTTCCCGGATATATATGGGGTAGTAATGTCTACTCTCACAAATTGCTGGTGGAGGAGGCGTCCCGAAGGCACTCCGGGGTGTACTCTTGCGCTGCTAGCAACAACGTGGGCGAGACCAGGGCTGAACCGCTCACCATCACCGTTTACTGTAAGTATCTGGATCAGTTTATCATTAGTAGCTTTTTTAAACTTAAAACTTAAGATCACCACGTGTTTACCTTATATATGGTGCCCAGCAGGTAATATTAGAAACTTCTTTCTGAAGACATTTTTAGGCCTTACAATATTGTCCACCCGAATATCTATATCCATTTATGTCATCATCATTTCAGCTATTAATTCTTCATTGATAAACATGGCTTCCCTCAAAGACTGCTATAAGTCCTGAACCACCTGTAGCCACTAACTATAAATTTTGTTTTTCTTAAATAAATTACCAACTGAATGCACTAATAAATTTACAGATCCGCCAGAATGTATAGGACCAGGCATTAGTCTCGTCAAAGAAACTATAAAATGCAACGTTCATGGTCTACCTTCCCCGGATACATACTTCTGGCACGTGCAACCGGCCGGCTTGGATGTACAGCATTTGACCACCGGGTCACCTATACTGCCTCTATCCCAGATCAATGAACCACTCTCTGGTATATACTATTACAATATATTTTATCATTTACTTTCGTAACAGAGCGCTATTTACAATAGCGAAAAATAAATTGGTTAGAAAAAAGGTGTTGGCGTAAAATTGAGAAAGACCATGCTGAGTTAGTGTACAAAGAATGTCAAATAGAAAGTTGATAAAACAGTGGAAAATACAAGTATCTGAAGACCTATGCTAACCTTAATGATCAGATAGTTTTACTGTCTAATGGAGTATTCAAGAACATCAGGAACCAACATACATATATTCAAATGACAATCTTGCAAGAGAATGTTACTATGAAAGACGTTCTTTTTTTTATGGGTGAAAATGGTATGGTAACCCCGCCTGCGCTAACGGAGTACGCTGGCGGTGCACCAGTGAAAAGTGTTAGATGAGAATGAAAACAGGTCAGTTAGCCCATCATGATAAATTCATCAGGAATTAACCATGATAATTTCCAGGGAGAACCGTGAGGAGGTCGACCTGGTTGACTATATTACTAGCAATGGGATTCTCATTCTCCATTACTAACAATCCCTTTCCCCCCATATGAAAGACGTTTGGCTTGTAAATAAATAAAATATTCAATGTATTTTCAGGGACAATGAAAGCGAGTTGCGAGGCCGGTAACGGTATAGCGTCTCAATACGAGGTCTGCGAAAGGATCTTCAGTCTGGAGTCACTTCGGCCTCCGCAGCCCAACCAGTGTGACTTAGCTTTTGAATATGGAGAATTCCAAATGAGGTGCATACCTGGTATGTTTCTAAAAAGATATCTTACTATTGTTGTCATCTGCAGATACAGATTTTTTCGACTACATATTTCGTTACAAAAGACAATCTCTTTCTACGTTCATCGACTCAAATATAGCGGATTACAACGAATCACTATAAATAAAAGATGTAACGTGCATAATATTCCTATTAAATGTATCTCGTACTTCTTTTATTATTTTTAAATTCGCTTTCAATTTCTAGTGGAAAACGCAACGTACTACGAGATATCAGTATGGCGCATGTCGACCTCCAATTCCTCTCTATATCTGGAGCGTCGGGGTTCTATAGGATTTGGGACACGGCAGGCATTAGCCCAAGGTGGAGTAGAAGGTGCCCCTGGAAGCATAGCACCCACATGGCTGGTGCGTGGAGCCCTAGGCGTCCTTAAATCTGCTGATGAAGCTGGCGCGGCAGCATGTAACAGATATGGATGTTCAGCTCCACTTCTGCTCAGGCCTACAGAGAATCTACTGCTAGCAGCAGAACCTCCGTGGTGGCATTGTGAGTATTTTATTAAAATTTCTTGTTCATGGACTCCTATTTACAATAAACATATCATTATTCCTGTGTAGTCCCGGCATAAAATGGGTCATTTCTTCCTTTCGCATATATGTCGTAACAGGCGTCTAAAGGAACGTAATGGTCGAGGGATGGGCAACAGCGTCCCTTTTAAAACATCGCCAAAGCCCAACTGCGATTGTCAATCCAACTGCCAAGCATGACAACTACTGGCAATACCCCCTTTATAGAGGAGACTTATGTTCAGCAGTGGACAGTTAACAACTTATATAAAAATGATAACATTATTACCAAATTAAAGCTGTTCCTAACCTGACAACTTGCCTAACTCACTTGGTAAACTACAGATACTACCATACTCTACACCATAAACACAAATACTATAGACAAACTAGCAATATGCATAATACTTCTCAAACTGAACCTCATACCGCTCATGGAAATAAAAGGTTACATATGTCTCTTGTATTGTAGGTTACTTTAGTTATCTTCGTGTTTGCAGTATCTATTAGGTGATTAGCGTTTTCTCCATAATTTCCAATGACAACACTATATTTGCATATTACAATATTTGCATGCCATTTGATGTGGCGAAACATAATGGACATCTTGTAAACTTGACAAATGCAGCATCTTATCTACAATGTTTCAGGCAATAAATTTCATTTCAACACTATTTTGCAATTTAAATGAGTAAAAGCTTAAAAATTCTCGAAACTGTAATAATATAAATAATAAAAAAGAGGAAATATCATCAACATTCTACAAAAAAATCCTCCACCATCCTATCATTGATAGAAATTAGCAGCGAACTTTAAAAAGGGGTAAGCACAAAAAATCATGGAAAGGTAGCAGTGTCACAGGTTTTTTAGCCTTAAAAAAACCGTCTGTCAATAATAATTGTATTGTATTGTATCAGCCGTTAACTACTTAACATAACCTCCATCAAAATATAAGAAGGGTTTACTGCTGCCCATCTCTCGACCATAAGCTCCCTTAGTTGCCTCTTACGACACTCACGAGAAAAGAATGGGTAACCTATTTTATGCCGGGATCTACACGGCTTTCAATAACAATAGTAAAATCATTGGCAATAAATCCGAAATCATTGAATGTATTTTTAATGATTTTGGTAAGTGTTCCTAAATCATAGCCCTTGGGGTCACTTATGATATAAACAACATTTCCTAAATTTCAAGTAATCACAAACCTACGCGATTTTTATAAAATTATTTAGAATATTTTTCCATAGGAAAATTATTGAGTAATTGATATATTGGCTAGACTATTATTTCCATTCTTTTTCACTCTGTGTAAAGAGATCCATTTTATCATTTCCAGTTATACTAGAAAAAGATGTGGGCATATCCCTGGGCGCAGTAGTGTTAGTCATCTCGTTTGTGGTGTCGACGGTGCTGGTGGTGAGATTGATCAGGAGGCCGCGCGGCAAGCCGCCTCCTGTCATACAAGTGGTACAGTTGGATGATCTCACCAGGAACTACATCGATACTATGGCAGGTTAATATTGCATACAGTAAGAGTCTTGTTCAAAATCCTATTAATATTTTAAATACTAAAGTTTATAAGGATAGACGGATAGATGTTCGTTACTCAATCACGCAAAAACTTCTGAACGGATTGTAATGAAATTTGATAAACATGTGGGTAACATATCCTAACTTAATACATAAGATCCTTTATTTACTAATTTACGTGAGCAAATAAAGGATAAAGCTAGTAATCGAAATAAATTTTTCAGATAGAAATTCACTCCATAAGTTCTTTTAGAGTTACAGAATATACACTTCTCGTTAAAGTTGTGATTACCATCAGAAACTACAACTAAAATAATTTAAATAATAAAACATCAAAATAATAATTTAAAATTAATAGAGAGAACCTAGCAATTGTGATAGACGAAATTCTAATGAGAACAGGAACTCCCTATTGCTAATCATCGTAATTATTTCAACTAGTTTGATTTCATCCTCACCTTATGTCCTTACTTATCATGCCTCACTGCCGCCAGTGTAAACTAATAATGTAAAACTATTTTTACTACATTGAAATTATCTATAAAATTGTATATGTAAAAAAGTATAACTAAGAATTAAGGTGAACAGAAGAGTTCATGCAACGACATCTTAATATTTTTCCAGAGAACAAAGTGCGCGCATCGTGCAGCCTTCGTTCTTGCAGTAACGGATACTCCGACGGGTCAGTGTTAGACGAAGTGGCGCCAGCTATTGACCGCCGTCGGAAACCACCAGCTATTTGGGAACAGTGGGACGCCCCTCCTCCTGATGTCACGCTTACATTACATAGGGAGAGTGCCGTTTGAACTGAATAATTGTTTTATGTGATTCTCTCACATATTGTTATTTAAATATTACCCAGTTGCGATGAAATAATATAGAATATCACAGCATCCACTCAAGCAGAGGAAAAAATAAGCCATTTCTCAATAGAAAATTGATTCATATAAGTTTGTACTTGTTTAATTTTTCTTTTTTGTACATCGAATGTCAATTACAAAAAGGATAATGAACGGACGAATTTATGTAAATTATAGAGACGACATCCATTACTTACTGAGTAGGTACCTCAAACTTATTTTCAGTATGTACTCGAATATGAAATAAAATACGAATAGCGCCATCTACTATTTATAATCAGAACTTCTAAGCTGTAATAATGGTTTCTATAGCAGTTTATAGTTTCTGTAAATTTAAATTAACTTACCTATTCGTTCTCAAGGTTTATTTTGCGGGTCTTCAAATATTGTTTTGTGAAATTATTGAATTAGAACTGTATGTTTTTATACATAATATTTAATTCATTCTTATTTGTTATTATTACAACTTGTTTCAACACAATTCTTATTTGGTGTTATTGTTGTTGTCTTTACAAGTGATAAACTGACATTCACAAGATGCATTTCCGTACACGTATTTAATTAAAATATCGATTATAATAAATGACTCAAACATTTTAATTCATATTAAATCTTTGTACAAATTAAAAGTTACTGTTGAAAATTCGCATTTCACTAAATTAAACTATTTAATTTCTAACGTAAATACAATTTTAAATAAGTAATGACTTCTTGATAGAAATTCGTTATTTTTTTGAATGAATAAAGCGTTCATTTTTTCTAGTTTTAAAGGGAAATAAGCATGCTTAGCTACCGAATGTCAATTGTCTAATTATTATCAATTTCTCTACCTACCTAGGTAGTGATAACCATGGAAAATACCAATTTATATTATGTACATTAGCAAAATTTTAAAGGAGAAACGGACACCTATATATGTTAAATGGTCTAAAAAGATTTTATCATTTAAATTATTAAAATTTCACACCGATATTTAATATCAATGATGAAATGAAATTATACTTTACATTCTGTAAAAATTCAGTAAATGTAAAAATAATAATAAATAATATCATTATACCTAATCTATTGTTGAATGTTGTATAAAATTTTATGCGATATCGTTTCCTCTTGTCTACTGTTGGGTGCTGTTGTTTAAAGAAACATTTGCCAAGTTTATGTTTTAAATGAAGAGACTTAATTAATAATAAAGAACATGTTTATTAATATTATAAGCTTACAGTATAGTTTCTACATAAGTTAAGTATAATTTAACAATAAATACTTAAAATTATTTATCTGTACATTTATTTAATACCGACTTATAATTTTAGGATCAATTGAATGCATCTGGTATATCTCCTCTGTTACGATTGACTTGCTTGATATTTACTTTCACATCTTTTTTTCCAATTTGTTTAATATTCAACGAAGAGCCATCTTCTCGTTTCTGTGTGTAAGAATATGTTTCAGAATCGTCAGCAACAACAATTGGATGTTTACTTAAAGAATCATCTACACTGACTTTCATATCGCTATGACTAACGTCAGTTACATTCACTGTAAACTGCTGTGGTGAATTGGGCTTTATTTGTTTATAAACATACCTAGAATTTACTGGTTGAGGAAATAAAACAGAACTTTGTTTGCTTACTTCTGATGATACATCTGTGCTATTTACAACACCTTGATTTAAATGTGGATTGCATTCTACCCCATTTACAACTGTCTCATTATTGACCTCTGTGCAGATTCTATTATTCATCTCTCTATTATTAGAAAAATTTGATGCTGGACCATCTTTGTGGACTAACTTAAAAGAATATGATCCAGTACTCACTTTAACTGCTGGATTATCCATTTCGTTACTAGTGATTTTTTTTAACGTTTGATAAAGTACAGTATCATTAAAACTTTTGTCTATACTTAAACCCATTATTGATGATACCCTTTTCTTTGCAATTTCGCTTTTTCGTTTATTTTCTGATACTTGATCACTTTCTGGATTATTTTCTTTGAAATTAACAATTTGATTATTGTCATAATATCCTTGATAATCGGAAAATGAAGAGATTCTATCACCAATTTCTTCAGCTCCGGGAAAACTTGTCACTGAACCATCGCTATGCACTACTTTGTATGAATAAAATCCATCTCTATTTGCATTACTATTAACATTAGTATCTATGTTGTAGTCATTTACGATTGAGTTTCCATTATTTATTTTTTCCAGTTGTACTTTTTCTGAGTAACTCGGTACAGACTCATCATTATAAATATTTTTATCTGAAAAGAGACTAGGATTTTCATTATTATAAAAATTCATGTGTAACTGTGACACTTTTGTCATATTACTAGCCTGTGAACCCATTATTGATGACACCCTTTTCTTTGCAAATCCTGTGTATTTGGCCATAGAACCGTCACTCTGTCCAGCTTTGTAAAAATATGGATGACCTTTTTCAATATCTTGTTCCGTTGTGTTTATTGGTTCCACATTTATTGTTATTTCACTTTTCTGTTTATTTTCTGACACTGAATTAATTTCTGGGTTATTTTCTTTGAAATTAGTTATTTGATTATTGACATAATATCTTTGATAATCAGAAACTGATGATATTCTATCACCAATTTCGTCTATTCCAGGAAAACTAGTCACTGAACCATCGCTATGCACTACTTTATATGAATAAAAACCACCTGTATTTCTATTACTGTCTAAATTTGCACCCAAAGATTCAACATTATAAATATTGTCCCTGTTATTATTTACAGTTAGGTTTCCTTTATTAATTTTTACCGCTTGTCCATTTTCTGAATAACTCATTACAGATCCATCCTTAAACGTGTTTTTATATGAAAATGGACTAGGCTGTTCATTATTGTAAAAATTCTTATCCAAATTTAGCACTTTTTGTACTTTATCATTATTTATTTGTTGTACATAGAATGGTGAATGCCCTGCAACATGCTTATCATGAGACATTGTTGAAAACGGAATTTCACTGTTCGTTTTTTCTACCGTTTTATTACCTGCATAAGTTGTCACAGTTCCATCTCTGTGCACAGTTTTATAAGAAAATGTATCAAAATCTCCATTATTATTATTATTTTGGTGTTCAGTAGTATATGGTTCTTTAATGTTTACAGGATGCGTATTAACCATCACCATGTTCATATAAGGCTTAGATGTAATATTCAATATGTTTATTTCATTTGTCTTGTCACTTAGTAGTTCATTTCCTGAATAATTTGTTATGGGACCATCTTCGTGGATAGTTTTATAAGGGTATAATCCTGTATTACTTTGTAGAGTCATTTCACCATGAATATTTTTATTAGCATTTTCAGGTTTAGGATATACTGGTATTCGATGTATACCTTCAACTGGTTTCACTTGATCGTCCTTTATATTTGTAGTCTCGAAACCTCCTTTTTCTTCTGATGTCCCAGATCCAGAATAAGTGGTCACTGAGCCATCTTTATGAATCATTTTATAAGAATACAATCCACCATTTTCATTAGCAGTATTATCAATCTTAAGAGCCGGAAAGATGCCAAGATTATGTATATTCATATGTACTTGCGCAGTTGAAGAAACTTCTTTGTTTACTTCGTCATGAGATGCTGTTGAAAATGGAATTTCTCCATTGCTTTTTACTACCGTCCCACTTTCTATGTAATTTGTCACAGTTCCATCTTTATGCACAGGTTTATAAGAAAATGTGCCAAAATCTTCCGTACTGTTGTTTTGGTCTTCAGTAGTATGTATCTCCTCAATATTTTCAGGATGCACATTAACCATCGCCATATTCATATAAGGCTTAGGTGTAATATTCAATATATTTATTTCGTTTGTCCTGTCACTTGTAAGTGCATTTCCTACATAGTTTGTCACTGAACCATCTTTGTGAATAATTTTATAAAGGTATGATCCACTATTACCGTAAAAGGTCCTATCATCGTGAATATTTGCATTAACATTTTCATTTTTAGATATAAGACTTGCCGGTATTTGATATATACCTTCAATTGGTTTTACTTGATCGTCCTTTATATTTGTAGTCCCGAAACCAGCTTTTTCTTCTGATACCCCAGATCCAGAATAAGTGGTCACTGAGCCATCTTTATGAATCATTTTATATGAATACAATCCACCGTTTTCATTATTATTGTTATGTATATTTTTAGCTACTTGCATAGTTGAAGTAATTCCTTTGTTTATTTCCATCGTTCCTATTCCTAAATTATTAGGTACATAACTATTATTATGATCTTGATGACTTTTACTAGATTGTATTAAAGATACAGCATTATGTCTAGGGTTATTATCAATCACATTGACATTGGGTTGGTTTAAAAAATGTGTTGTAACCATATTATCTCCAGCATATATCACGTGATTTGGTCTTCTTCCAACCATAGTTGCCGTTGCAACTTGTCGAATTCTATCTGAAATTACTTCAGGTATAACTGGAGATGTTTTAAGTTCAGATATTCCTATACCGGATTGACCCATTAAAGTTGTTGTAGAGCTATCTTTGTGTATTTGTTTATAAGGGTAATTATTTGCAGTAGATGCAGAAGGTACTACATTATTATAAGATTCTTGTACATTTGATGAAATAACTTCCACAGTAGTTGGAAAATTATGAACTTTAACAGACGTGACTGGTACAGGACCTTTTTTATTTGTATTTTCAGATATTTCATAGCTTTCCGGTAATGAAGATAATGAGCCATAGGTATTCGTCACCGTTACATTCTGATCATCTTGTGCTGTATATGTTGTTATCTGACCATCCCTGTGAATTAGTTTATACGAATACTTGGGCGATGATGGTGTTTGTGCAATAGCAGGAACTAATACAGGGTTAACGATATGTACAACATTTGGCCCTGGAACGTGTACTAACTTCGATCCTGGTATAAAAGTTATTGGTTTTGATACAACAACTGGATAAATATAACCGTGTTTGTGTTTGTTTGCTACGTATTGACATATTTTCATTAACAGTGAAAAGACCCCAGTATTATAACCATCACTACTATGTAAAAATTTGGAACAAGGTGTAGGTGGAGTTAATCGCATATTAGGAGGCAAAACGCCAGTTGCCATTATTTTCTGTACAGCTTCTCCTTTGGTCTCAAGTATTCCTGATTGCATTAGATTTTTTATGCCTTCTAGTGCTGATAATGTCTCATTATCAGTTTTTGTACCTAAATATGACCCAACAATAGTAGACACCGCATCTGCTCCAAGAAATGGTTTATCAAATGCAGTATCTGATTTCAAACATCCTGGCTTTTTGAATTCAGGAACTCGGTAGATTTTATAATTTTCCCCTTCTCCTAAATGTACTGAAGATAACGTATTCTTCGGACTTTCGAATCCAAATATTGATTTATATAATCCTTTTAAAAAGGCCAAATCTCTTTTCGGTCTGGTACTTTCAGTTTTCGCTAATATGATGGCAGTACATCCAAGTAAAATACACTGAAACAAATTAATGTGATATAAGTAAAAATATGGTTAACATAGAAAAATATATAATATTTTTTTCATCAAAACATTTAAATACGATTTATATAAAAAATGGCAAGTAAATACACCTAAATGTCTGCGCACACGTTAAGCAAAAATTACTGGACAAATTTTGATGTAATTTAGTGTGCTAGTAAATCAGTAAGCACGCAGGGCATGTCATACAACATTATGTTGTATGACATGCCCTGAATGGACCCTTTTTGCCACAGTAAAAAATCTAAATCCCATATCAAATTTCCAAATTCTACCATATTAACAATATCTTGTCGAGATTTGATCGAGAAAAAAGACAGAAATTACGCTAATCGCGAAATTGTTTTCTGAATCAGTACTCGAAACAACACATACCTACAACTTTTTTATTATTATGAAAATTAATAGAAAAAAGCTGATTCGCCCACCTATTTCTCACATTTTAATATAAAAATATATATTATATCATTAACACTCTCTCTCTCTCAAATAATAACTACTACCAAAATTCTATATTTTTTCTACCAGAGGGACTGTCAAAAGTCGTTTGCTTGAGTACCTTTGCCCCATTCATTCATTCTTCCGCGAAGCAATTGTATTTGCATGGCTATGCATTTCGGTTTGAAGAATATGACAGTGAAATTACAGAGTACAGATGCATAACATCTGAGTCATACCACCTTAGTAATGGCATTATCTGTGGTAATGGCAACGCATGAGAGGTATCATGGGCGACAAAGTATACTGTGTGATGGCCATGGTACTGTTTATGTCTATAGACGACAGATACCACTTTCCATCAGGTACGCCTTCAGCTTGTTTGAAACAATAAGAATAATAATAACAACAATAATACTGCCAAAACAAAGAGATTCTTTTATCTTAAACAACTTTTTTTAGATGATACACGTTTAAGTTTTCAATTTGTTTCCAATTTCCAATGATTGGGCGACAGTTTCTCTTTGTAGAGCAAACAACTGATTGTTGAAAAGCAAAATGGTAATAACAATTTATTTATTAATTTCTTATTGCATTCTATAATGTGGTTGGTAGATATTATAACAACTTAATTTATGAACCCTGTTCGACACAGCATGTAGGAGAGAGGAGGCTAACCTTTTTTTACTTTAGAAAAAGTTAATAAGTTTATTACAATGTTATTCAATCAATGAAATTGTTTCACGTTATTTCTGTATTATTATTATTATTTAAGTATTGATGTGTATCTATTCATACTGTAGTTATAATTAGTATTATATAATATATTTTATAGTTTATAATTATTCATATTCATATTATAAAAATAATGAATAAATAATTTAATAATAAATTTTCGCCAATCTCAGTTACAGCTATGTTTTAAATTATTATACGCGCATATTTTCATTAATTCTAGGCATACCAACACGAAAATATCTATCTATAGAGTGTCACTTTTTTTTATAGTGAGTTCAATAAATAAATACATAATTGTACAAATACACTTAAAATAACAATCTACACGTGGAAGAGAATAAAACAAAGTGTACGTAGACACATGCTACGGATAGGTAGTAAGGACGAGTGCTTTACTGATTATTACGTAGATGTAATTCTCTAAAATTTTTAATGATAAAATTTGTAATTTATATTATATATTTATATTAATATTATATTTGAAATAAGTAATATAATACGTATGTCAATACTTAAATTTTTCTTAACAAATCACATGCATTTATCGAGTCCGAGTGATATGAAAAAAACACGAAAAATTTACAAATAAAAATCGTATTCTTACATGAAATATGAACCACCTCATCTTGCACTGATATTAACTTATTTCTGAACTTCACAAATAATTATTATGATAAATTATCACACATGTCACTCCGTATATTTCAAACGTTAAACTGACTAAAATTTTCACAGTAGCTTACCTTTATAACAGAGGTTCGTTACTTAATTGCACACTAATGATAGTGATTTCGTGCGTAATTAAAATAAATTATGTAATTGTCCAAAATCCTGATCGATTTAACTGATGACGAAGTAGCTAGGGCATTTCTGACGCAATGTAAATTTGTCACTAACACTACAATCATCCTGCTGGAGGGGCGTGGAGATTTTTAATAATAGGAACTAGTAGTCCCATTTCTCCCTGTTAAATCGACATCCATACGGTCCCATCTTGACGAGATCGTTTTTTTTTTTATGCAAATTATAATGGCATACAAGCTAACGGCCCACCTGGTGGAAAGTGGTAACCGTCGCCTATAGACATCGTGGTTAATTTCTTATTAATTTGTCACAAGGGACTAATTGATCTGACTTCAGCTTCACCTATCCTCATTAACTGGTATATTAATAGTACACGTCGATTTCACAATCCATTTTCAAACAATAAAAAATCTATTTATAGGCTTAGGTATATTCAAAGGAATCCTGGTTACTCGTGCCCACCCCAGAATAGTCTAGCGCCCTCTCTAGAATACAAGTAGAACTTTTAACTGCACACCCAAACCGAAATTTTCCCAAGAGACTACAGCATGGGGTTCTTCAAAAGGGGGGTAAAGAGGTTTCTTTAGGGTCGGCAACGCACACGTAATACCTGGCAGGTGTTCATAAGCTACGGTAACCACTTACCATCAGGTGGGCCGTATGCTTGTTTGCCACCTCAGTGGTATAAAAAAAAACATAAAGACATGTCTGAGACCACTTAAGATGCCTTTTTAAGGGGCTAGCGAGGTCAACAATACTGTCTAAATTCCAAAAGCAAAATAAATTCTTTAAAAACTATACCGGAATTACCGTTAGAATATATGATTGTATATCTATTAAGAAATATCAAATAATATCTATAACGGATTCGAACCACATACCCTATTACGATAGTTAACTTCTAATTAACAATAAAGATAAAATTATTGTGGTTTATCAGTAAATGATTGCTCGTATTATAACGGTGATGCTTTATTTTATACTAGCTTTCTGGCCGCTACTTTGTACGCTTGGATTTTAAAACCAGAAGAAGAAGAAATAAATAAATAAACCACTTTTAGATGGCATCTCAATACATATTATCATATACCATTTTTTAAGTTAGTTTTTTAGTTTTTTAGAACACAACTGTGAAAACAGCATCCAATTTGATACATTGTATCTAACAATAATACAAACAGAGATAAATTCTAAAAAAAAGTGTTGTCGTTTCTATAGCTTATATTAATACCCCCATATACATTTTCCTTAGATAGCTTGTACAAACAAAAATCGTTCAGATACGATTTTATTATATTAGTAAGATGAAAGATACCTAAAGTCTAGTGCCTAAGACCAAAGTACAAGGCGGAAAGAGATTGTTAGTATGGGATCTAACCGCCCCTGTCAGCTCGACCTCCACGTGGTCCCTCGAAATCATAGTGCTGAATTCCAGGCGTATTCATCACAATGGGCTAACTGACCTGCCTTTTCATTATCTCATTGGTGCCACGCTAGCGTATACGCTAGCGTGGCACAGGCGGAGTTACCGTTCCTTTATCATCCATTAAAAAAATTCCAAAGTACATACGAATCACCTCATTCTTAGGGAAAAAGGAACAATTTTTTTTCAAGTTGAGGAAGTTTTTTGTGAAGCATCAAGTCTTCCTTGTAGAATACGGGTGATGAAAAAACATGAAATAATTCCCATTAGGATTCCATATTATCTTTTTTAAGTAGCTGTGCAAAGTGACTTTTGAGATTAGCATCAAATCAAAATCATATAATATCAATTTTTTTATGAAAATAAAAACAAGCAGGCGTACGGCTCAGCATCATGAACATCGCAGAAACACAGTAATTCCCATGATACAGATTATGCGTTGCTATTGGTTAGGTTTAGGTTTAAAGTTTGGTTTAGTTGAGTGTTTTCAAAAAGAAACACAGCCATACAAGCAGAGCTGACTCGCGGTAGAAACACGAGTAGAAAACACGAATGATGTTTTTAAATTTAGTTTAGTTGTTTGAAAATAACTAAACGAAGATGTTTCTAATTAGATTCATCTAATCGGCACACATTTCATGTGATCCCGGCGTAGAATGGGACACCACTTCCTTTCTTGTGGGCGTTGACTAAGGGTTAACTTAATAATAGAGGAATGGGCAGCAGCATCCCTTTTTAAAGAACACCAGAGCCTAACAGCGGTTGCCAACCCACTTGCCAGACTCAGCAACTACTGTAAAAAATTTATGCTTATTTATGGAGCCTATGTCCAATAATGGAGAGTTAACACATACATTACACTTACAAAAATATTCATATCCAATATCTTAAATCTGATTGAATAAAAAATCAGCCCACTAGTGTAATATCTTAGAGTTGATAAATAACTATCTTAATAACTATGTAAATAAAATTATCACAAGTCACAAAGTTGGATTCGATTTTTATTGTGAAGCATATCTATCGATTGATATATGAGATAAAATTCCGACTAGTACATATTAGGTATCATTATTAATGGAAGGAATATTAAATTAATTACAGTGCACTTTGATAAATACCTACAGTATTCGTTATGTTAAGAATACTTGGAAACTGTTAATTGCAAAGATTTTTCCAAAAAATTAGCTATCAAATGCCAAAGATTTTATCAAATCCGATCGGTAGATCTAGAGATCAGCACGTTCGAACAATCTTTTGCACTTCATTATATTGGTTTTTGTGAAATATAAAAATCATACCAAAGAGGCTACTGTGCGAATTACATTTATAAAGAATAATAAAACCAATCGTGTATCAAATCCATAGATAATTTACTTTAATGATCAATTAATAACATACTGTAAAATCTATCTCGAGTTACCTATCTCCAGTATTTAATGGCAATTCTAAATTCAAAATATTTAAATAAATAATTGATATACAAATAAACATATATAGAAAAAATTCTATTGAGCCCCAAACTAATACACCTATCGATCTTTCTAGACGTTGACAGAGGAAGATTTCTTCAATTCAATCATATTTTTTACTATTTTTTTGTGTATATGTTTCATCATATCTTCTTTACTACTTCCGAATTTATTTGTATTTCTTTTTTGTTAAAAGAGTCCACTCCCATATCGAATCAAATAATTTTGTCAAGAAAGAAGTCGATTCTTATAGAATAAAATTTTATATTTCTTCTATAAATAACTTTACAAATAAATTAAATAGGTACATACTTATTCTAATAATATCAAATAATTATTATTAAATTTATTATATTAAGTACAGTAATCAACAGTAATTACTAATTTTAAATGTAATGGAAGACATTTTGTAAGTGGCTATTAATTAATCACTTACTTATTCATAAATGCCAATTCAATTCAGCAAATTAACTTTTGACGTAATTGTATCGGAATTCAATCGAAAATCACATTGCATAGATGTCAAATGACATAACGGTACCATGCATTTATTCAATGAGAGAATACGTCAAAAATTAACCTACTAATTTCTAAATCTTGTATCTATACAAAGAAATGCAGATTCTCTAGACAAGCAGCTAACGAATCCATTATTGGTAGGTATCGTTTTCACAAGCAAATCCGTAAATTGTAATGAGACATCAGACCACACTATCTCATTCTAGATGATCTAGAGGGCCAACTTATAAACTGCATGTTAGCTTTGGCATTCTTCTAAGGGAATCTTCCAGAAAAACTGATTTTCTGTTCCTTGTTAAAAAAGAAGAACAATAAATAGTCCCTCATACTGGGGGAAAGGGATTGTGATTAACTTACCCATTGCTAACAATACACCCTACCAGGTCTACCTCCACGCGGTTCCCCCTGGAAACCATCGTAGTTAATTCTAGTGGAATTCGTCACCATGAGGTGAAAATGGAATGGTAACCCCGAATGCGCTAACGGGATACGCTGGCGGAGCACCAGTAAAGGGTGATCGACGAGAATGAAAACATGACGAATTCACAAGGAATTAACCATGATAGTTTCCAAGGAGCACCGCGCTGAGGTCGACCTAGCTGGGTATGTTGCTAGCAATAAGTGTCTTAATCTCCATTACTAACCATTCCATTATCACCCATTTAAAAAAAAATAGTCCCTCATACATACTATTATCAGAATACTCCCCTAAGCGAATGGTAATAAAAATGCAATATAGAAAGTATGCAGCGCGGAGCCTTCTGACTCTTCATGACCTATACGAGGAATCTACAAAAATATAGCATAATATATTTTAACAATTAGTAATTCCGACAAAGAAGCATTTCGAAAATGTTCAAACATTCTGTCACAAGACAGAATTCAATATTTAAGTAGTTCGATGGACTACATCATCAGTATATGTGTAGTAATATCATCGAGCATGTGTAAAATATCTATTTTTGTATGATAGTCACATGCTTAAATATTTTTCTACGCTTTTCTTATTTTAGGATTCCTTAAAATATTTAATATTAAAAAACAAATCCTACGCAAACAAAAAAAAAACAAAATAAACTCTGGAAAACAGACTAGTTTGCTTTTCTTTTGCGCTATAAAAAGTTTTAATAGTGTTGGTATTTTTTTTTTCTTTAGTTCTCCTTATTTTTTCTCTTCAACGCCCATGTTGATTCAAGCACACCATGGCACTTCAGCATCAAACACATGCCTGGGTGGGTGAAGCGCGTGGTGTGGGTTGTGATGAGGTTGTGGTGATCCGTGGAGGAGTTCACACATGAAGCTGATATATGTGATGGCCAGTCTAAGTGTCTCGATACGAGAGAGGCGTTTTTCGTAAGCGAATGTTGGCACCTAAAAAGTAATAAAATTTGTTTTCTTTATATCATTTTGCATATAGAAAACAAAATTACAAGAATAACAATAATATTTTATAATACAGCAGAAATTTATGATTGGGTGCAGAGTGTAGTAAGGTTATAGCTGTCGTGAAAGAATTCACACATGAAGTTAAGGATTTTTATTATGAACTATATGATCCGCTGAACTTCGTATCACCTACAACGTCATCTATTAAAAGTAATACGAAATAACGATTCCCATACAAAATTGCCTTAATAATTTTTCGATTTTCGGCTAAACTTTTAATTTTTACATCTTTTTTTTCTTTTAAACCACCTTTCCAAAAACAAATCAGTCAATCCCTTTTTGAGTTTTAGTCTTCCATCCGTTAACGCATCCAGCACCTAGTTAGTAAGGGGAGACAAATTTTTAATATTTTTTTAGTTTTATAACTTAATTTTACATACCGCTATCGTTTACATTTCACTTGCAAACCAAAACCTTGTTTAATTAAAATTCATGAAACTGATCAAACCCAAGAAACAATCGAAATTCTTACATACTTACAAATGTGAAAGTGCGTTTGTTTATTTATAAACTCTTAGCATCTTAATGGCTTAACCAAAAAATATGAAATTTGGTGCATACATGTAGGTCATAGGCCATAGGCCATTTATCCCGGTCAGTAAACATGTCCCGGTCACGCAAAGTCGCAGATAAAAGTTAATTTATAACAGCTGTTAAGTACCTTTCGCCGCAACTTATCGAATGCCTCGTTCAAATTGAACATACGTCTCCTCTCCCGAATGTTGGCGGCGCGCCGCTGCGCTACGGAGGCGACGCGGCGCCGCGGCTTCTTCCCGACGGGCGTCGCTCGAGCGCCGGCACGGCCGCCGCAACCCGCCGCCGACCATACTGGACATTCATATATTTTCAACCGACTTTAAAAAGGCGATTTTAAGTACAGTTATATTTTTTATGTTTACTACCTCATAGCTCCGTCAGTTGTAAAACCGATCTGGAAAATTCTATTATTATCTGAAAGGATATACTAATAGAGTCGTCTCATAGAAATTTTATCAAAATCAGTTCAGTACTTTAGTTTTTAAATAAAAATAACTGCTTTTGTCACAATTGAATTAGATTCTTAATGTGGAACACAATCTTAATTATTTATAGATTTTATATTAAATTAAAGACCACACCAATACCCAAATGTTTACGCACTAACTTACGCACACGCACACACACATACACAAGCACGCACGCACACACACACACACACCCATACAAACACCTATGCATGTCCAAACTCACATTCAATGTCACATATTCAAATTAACCCTGTTCGCCGCACTATAATTGTTAAATTTCTAGCTTTGACTTCCACGAGACAGGCTTTGCCTAGTGTGGGGTCATAGTTATATTGTACTACAGTCTAATTTTATTTAAGGAAATAAAGTTATTATATTAAATTGATACTATTAGTTCAGCTTCGCCACCGTGAATTAGTACATGAAACATACTACATTCTAAGCTAAGATATAAAGCCTAATCGTGTACCAAATTTCATTTAAATCCATTCAATAATTTTTGCGTGACAAAGTAACAAACCTCATTACATCCCATTCTTACAAACTTTCGCACTTAAGATATGAATAAGACTAAATTAAATGTAACTTTGTTGAAATCCATAAAACTAGTTAGTGGAGGAAAGTCTAACATTAATATCTGGTATATGTTTCATCTTGATACGCCATCTAAAAGTAGTGTATTTCATTGAATTTGCTACTTCTAGATAGTAAAGTAGCGGGCATCTAGCTAGTATAATATATAAAGAATATCCTTACCAAGGTCGGCAGGCGGGAAGGCCAGGATGTCGGGGTACGGCACTGGGGCAGGCGGCGCGTCCCACAGCGGCCCGTATGGAGACACCTCACTGCCCTGCACCATAAAGTCTCTTCTGCATTTTATCTATCGAAATAATTATACTCATCCGAATCTTCTTTCACAACAAGGACAAGACAATGAAACATACGGTTGTCTAAACTTTATTCTAGACTAACTATCCACCTCGACTTCAAATGTATAGATAACTTTTTATTTAATGGATGATGATGGAATGGTAACCCCGCCTGCGCTATCGGTATACACTGGCAGGGCACCAGTGAGAGATGATAGGTGAGGATGAAAGGGCAGGTTAGTTACTCTGCGTGTTCTACCGCTTATACAACGGATTGTGCTCAGAGGAATTATTCAATATGATGCCTACGGCCACTTTCTATCATCGTACGACTCGCCATCGACAGGGAGTTCACCCTCATACCTTACAGCCTAAATGGTCGCGTACAACGCGGTTTCAGAGATGCTTTCTCCCACGAACACTCAGGTTATGGAATGAGCTCCCTGCCGAGGTTTTCCCGAGAGACTACAGCATGGGGTTCTTCAAAAGGGGGTAAAGAGGTTTCTTCAGGGTCGGCAACGCGCGCGTAATACCTCTGGTATTGCAGGCGTTCATAGGCTACGGTAACCGCTTACCATCAGGTGGGCCGTCAGCTTGTTTGCCATTCTAAGTTGTATAAAAAAAAACAGTAAAAAACAGCAGTACCATGGATATATCAGAGTACACTGTTTCGCCCATGATACCCCCCATGCGTTGCCATTCTGAGGACTCAGGTGTTATTCCTCTGTACCCAATAAATTCACGCCATATCCCACCCTTCAAACCGAAACAGCCATGCAAACACAACTGCTTCACGGTTGAAACACGAATGGAACAGAGGTACCCAAGCAATCGACTTTTGTACAAAGTCTCCCTCTGGTCTCTAAGTCCTCTATGTCCCTAAGCTTATTTTTTTATGCAGCATGAAAAGGCAATGACAAACGAAGTAATGAAAGGAAGTGACAACTGTTGCCTTCAGAGAATATCAAAATAGCAACATGGTTAGTAGTTACCTAGCTAGTCTAAAGTCATAAGAATAAATAATCTATAGTTCTTATTCTTATGCTATGGTCTTATCAATGCTTCAGAAAAGAAATATAATGGATATACTCGTAGATATGGTAGATCGCCTTTATAGTTTATATCTCATTATATATATTGGTGGTGTCAGTTTTTGGCGAACCGTTACACAGATCATCTTCAATAGTTGTACAACAACAATTTAATTTCGTCAACCATTTCCTCACAATCAGAAATGAAGGAACAAAATCTTCATAAACTTCTACTTGCATTGGATAAATATCCATTGATTATAAAGTAAAGGGATATATTGTCTGCGCGATATATCTACTAGTTTATCTATTTAAACACACGACATATCTTTTTTAAAATTCTCATAATCAAACTATTGACAGAATGGGAAATTTGAACATCATTTCTTTAGTTAACAGACAGAAATTAAAGAGAAAAGATATTATTCTAACAATACAATTTCCGTGATAAACCGAGAACTTGTTACCTTTGTCTCTCATATAATCCAATAACAACTCTGTTAACTACTAAGTTTAATAAAGGTTTAAAACCATAGACGTGGTATAACGTACTCATGCTTTATAATCTAATTTTAAAACAGTATTTTTAAATACCAACTCGAAAACTAACTACGCCCATGATGTTACCATTTTTAGAAACTATATTGTTAAGTATACTTCCATGCTAAGTAATTTTTATATATATTATATATTATGCGATATCTTTGAAAATTCTGAAACTATATATATATATGGTTTTGATTACTAAAGCATATTAACTATATGTATATCTGATTTTCTATTTTTATGTAAGTACAATAAAAAATTAAGTAAAAAATTAAGTGCTATGTGACAATAATATAAAATTATTATATGTATAATCCTTTTATACTATTGTGAGAAAAAGTACGAAACGTCATCGTACTATCATCAACATGCGATTTTTTTTGCAAGTCAGTTTTTTGTAACTTGATTACATTAAACTTAGAATAGAATAGAAAGTATTACCAGAAAAACGCAATTACAAAAGAAAATACAAAAATATTACACATATAACTCGGCTCTAGGCTCAGCTGATATTGTGAGTGTCCCAGTGCAATGTGTAGGTACAGCTGCACAGCGCTAATTTTCAATCAGTCCCTCTCTTAATAAAATTTGACAAAATTGCAAAAGAGTAAACTGCAATTCCCTGTTAAAAAACTTATACTTTTTTTATATAATTATTATAAAACCCACGTACTGCTGAACTGCTCCAGACGTGCGGCGTCTCGCTGCCGTAGGACATTAGAGGGAAATGAATCTTGATATTTTAAGCCACACCACTAATCGAAACTCTGCACAACACACTGATCACCACCGAACTGAAAGATCTAGAACAAATACGCTGAATGACACTGCAGGAACAACTGAAACCTACCGCTTGTGAAATTGGACTAAATCAAAATATTTCACCATCATATTTTCTGAAATATGGTCTGGGAGAACTTATTAATTTTTTAAACCCAATTCAAAATTCAATCTTCATACTATAATCTTAAGGTCTATAATCTTACAGGACAATGGAAAAGCCACCCTTAACCATAGCAACGCCAGATTTTCCACTTGTGATTGGCCAGTGTAAGGGTGAAATAGGATACTTGAATGTAATTGGATGCAGCGGTTGCAAAGGGCGGGGCTTAGATTTCTGAATTCTAGCTTTTCTAACTTACGTATACTTCCAACCAGATCTCTAGATATACATATACTACGATATATGATATTAATTATATTAAATCGCTGGAAAATTATTATAAAATTACATTCAATTAGTTTACTAAAACGCCCGTCGCAAAAATTTTGAATATATACCTACTTAAGTTACCAGAGGGAGACTGTACAAAAGTCGATTGCTTGGGTACCTCTGTTCCAGTCGTGTTTCAACCGTGAAGCAACTGTGTTTGCATGGCTGTGTTTCGGTTTGAAGGGTGGGATATGGCGCGAATTTACTGGGTACAGAGGAATAATACCTGAGTCCCCAAGAATGGCAACGCATGAGGTGTATCATGAGCGAAACAGTATACTCTGTTATGTCCATGGTACTGCTCATGTCTATAGGCGACGGTTACCACTTTCCATCAGGTGGACCGTCAGCTTGTTTGCCATTCTAAGTTGTATAAAAAAAAACTTAAACTATTGATTCTTTCAGGTACTAATTGTTCACTGGTAAGCATGGACCTCACCTATACATTACCATGAGAAATGGTCAAGAATACCTACATCCTCTGCATGGATTTTCTTATACTGCGTTTGATGCTCTTCTACCATAAGTCATCAACGTTTGAAGAACTTTAACTTCAAACTTTGTGATTTTTTATACCACTGAGGTGGCAAGAAGCATACGGCCCACCTAGTGCTAAACGATTACCGTAGCCTATGATACCAGGGCATTATACACACGTTACCAACCCTGAAGAAACTTCTTTAGTCCTTTTTTCTTGAACTCCACGCTGTAATCTTTAGAAAAATCCTCGACAGGGAGCTCATTCCATAACCTAAGCGTTCATGTAAGGAAACATCTCTGAAACCGCGCCGTACGCGACCACTTAAACTGTAAGTTATGAGATGAACTCCCTGTCGATAGCGAGTTATACGATGATAGAAAGTGGCCATGGGACATCATATTGAACAATTTCTCTGAGCACAGTCCGTTGTACAGGCGGTAAAAGACGCAGAACAAGGCAAAATGTCTCCTAAGATTTAAGAGTTTATTACCGCTTGTAAGCCTGGGATCATCGTTATCGTTGCACTGAGTCGAAGAGTTCAAGCTGGTATCTAGGTGCTCCTGCTCATAAATGACAACAATACTCCATGTGTAGCCGAATTTGCAATTTATAGAGATTTAATAATTAATCCGGCGTGAAGTATTGCTTCACTTTATTAAGTATACCGAGTTTCTTGGATGCCAGCTTCACCTTATCTTCGAGGTGGCCAGAGAGCTGTACGTCATAAGAGATACCAAGGATCCTAATGCTTTTAGAGATCTATATATATGGTACAAATATATTTATATTGTATTTAAATATATATAATTACAAAGGTATTCAAACAATATTTATCCTACTTATCCTGTTACATCCTGCTAATATTATAAATGTGAAAATTTAATGAACAGCTGAACGAGTACTTAAGTCTTGCTACGTCAAAGTATATAAAAAAAATAGATCGTTTTGCCTTTTAGTCAATAATTTTTTTCTTAGGGGAACACTCTAAGTAATTCTGTGATAACAATCACTTATAATCAATACGTATATTTTTTATAATTCTTAGAAAGTAAAACAAGCCGATGGCGAAAAGTAATAGGCATCGCCTATAGACATGAATAGTCATAGGCATCACAAAATACTCTATGATAACCATGGTACATCTCACGTGTTGCTATTCCAGAGAACTAGGGTATTATGTCTCCATACCCTGTAATTTTACTACTATATCCTAGTCTTTAAACCGAAATATAACCATTAAGGCACAGCAAACACATTAAACAAGAATTTATTCTAAACAGATAAATTATCCCATAACAATGCACCTGCATTGCACAATACGTAATTCCATACGAATTAATCTGTTATTGATCACATTATCGCATCAAAACCGAGGCGTGACCAGACACAGATGGCAAATTCGTCACAGTCGGCAATTCGGCATATTGTCCCCGGGACTAACTGGACAATAGAACACTTGTCATTTTGACGCGAATTTAGGGCAAATGGGGTAAATCCGATCGCGTTTATTAAAATGTTGATCGATGAGGATAATCACAGAAACAAGATATCTAACTACCAAATTTCAAATTTTTTATTATAAGACAGCCAGGGGGAAAGGTATTGTTAGTTACAGGGAATAGTGGCCCCATTTCTAGCAATATACCAGATTGTTCTCCACATGCTCCCCCCTGGAAACGGAACGGACGGATAGTCTCGCCAAAAGCGCTTGGTACCTTTTTTATACAGAATCCCAAAATAAACAATAGCTTGTAATGAGAGATATAGACTTACGTTTCAAAAATTAAATAAAACGTACATATGTATAATAAATTATTTGGAATTTAAAAACGATATAAACTTACTTAGTGTACTTACGATATAAACTTACTTATCTGGAAAATGGAAAAAAAAATTTTAGAGATCAACTTGACTTCCCAAGGGGTGTAGAGCTGTGTCAAATTATGAGATTTAGCAAAACATGTCAACTGAATTACACGCTTCAATTATAGAAGGGGTGCGATATTAAATCGGAGGAAGAATGGTCGCCGCCGCACGTGGTCCAACTTGAGGGGAAATGACAAAATATGTTTTGATATGATAACTAATTCACTATAGACGATACATTGTTTTCTAATTGCTGAGGGAACCGTATTAAATTAGCTGATGGTAAAAATTGTATAAAATCATTAGAAAGAAAAAGAAAGAAAACATTTATTGATAACATCAAAAAGTAAGATAAATTATGAATTAAAAAAAAAAACTACATTTATTATTGCCAACGTGGTCACCACTCAGCATGTGCTGCAGCAATTTAATTGCTACAGCGCTGATATTCTGTGGTGCCCATACGTGACATTACGAACGACGTCAGCAAACATACATATATGTATACATATATGTATACATACAACAACACAATATTATACAATGAAGCAGCAATGTTATGCAATCACAAGGAGTTACATGCTTTTTGTAGATTTAAATAATAGTTCTTAGCATATTTTTTAAAAGTATAAATTGTTTTTAAATTTCGTATGGGAGGCGGGAGGTCATTCCAGATCTTGGAAGCTGCATATTTGAAACCCCTCTGAAAACTTGCAGTTCTATGTCGTGGTACCTTTAAACGTATAGAAGCTACTCTTAAATTATATATACTATGCTCTTGCGCCCACGATAATTTATCGTAAAGGTATTGAGGTCTGCCTGTATTTATTACATTAAACACTAAACATGCAAGATGCAACTTCTTTGTGATGCATTTTTTTTTAAATTATATACATAGGTAGTTTCTATACTTTAAGAAAACAAGCACATGCGCAAATTTTCATACATTATAAAAACATCGAACTAGATTACACCAGGACAATCGACTCGAAACTATATGAATCACCGTTGCGCTATGAAATTCTGAAATATTAGGCTATTTCTCAATCACAAGTATGAAACATTTGTTTAATGAACTCTGCGTCATCAGTACCTACCCACAGACTAATTATAGTGATCATTACTTATTACATAAGTTAATTATTTTTTTATTGACTATTTACGTAGAAGTAATATCAACACAATAAAATAGATAAATATTCATTGACTATAATATTCTACAATACATGTACATGTAGTCCTACAATACAATGTATACACACATACGCATATTATTATAGTATAACTAGTTGACCCCGTCAACGTTGTTTTACCAATTATTGCGAAATATAAAAATCGCGATTAAAAGACAGGGGTTGATCGTAAAACGGTGAAAATTTGAAGTTGTATGTATTTTCCAATGCTAAATCATAATAAAATAAAAATGGAAAAATTTGTTAAAAAAATAAAAAAAAAATTTTGGGGAGGGTCACCCTTATCATTGAGGGGTATGAAAAGTAGATGTTGGCCGATTCTCAGACCTACCAAATATGTACACAAAATTTCATAAAAATCGGTAAAGCCGTTTCGGAGGAGTTTGGTAACAAACACCGTGACACGAGAATTTTATATATAAGATATTACAGTATACATATCTACAAATAAACTTACGCACCTCCTACATACATACATTCAAATTACACTCTACACTCAGAAAGCAAATTTTTTTACAATTTTCATTACTACTAATAGTTATAATTATATGAATTAACTTTATATAAAATCAACATTCTATATGTAGCACTAAAAACTTTGCTGAACTGATATTATAGTATCTAATGAGAATTGAGCGCTGTCGTCTGAAATACAGGTTTTATAACCTAGTTCAGACACAGATGTTTAAGCTGATCCAAATGTACAAATGAATTCGTACCTACTATTATTGTAATTTCCAGTGCTGACTTTGTTACAACCATGGTTATGCAATAAAGTTATGACTATTATTATAGAAGTATGTATCCAAAACATTGATATTTGTAGGTACCATAAAAGACCTATTTACTTTTAGAAAATATTTCTAGAAACGCTGGTTATCTATGGAATCGTATGAAATCTATATTTCATACAAAAAGTGTTTTATTTCAAGTGTTACAGGCCTGAGCAAAGATCAGTGTAAACACTTTTTTTGGTTCCGTTTTTCTGTCACTGAAAAAGGCAAAAGGTCTCAGCCTATACAGCTTTTGTCTTCAGTTAAATTCTAATACTACAATTTCTTTGTTTATATAGCTACCTTACACTTCATACAAACAACTGTAAACGATGCTGCTACAGTTTCCCATTACTTAACTTGAAGAAAAGATCGAAAATGGGTTACAAACATTACACTCAATAGCTGTAGAACAGGCCACGTGTATATATATATATATATTTTTTTTTTTATGGATGAAGATGGAATAGTAACCCCCCCTGCGCTATCGGTATACGCTGGCGGGGTAACAGTGAAGGACGATAAGTGAGGGTGAAGGCAGGTCAGTTACCCATAGTGACCAATTTAACAAAAATTAACCACTATGGTTTCCAGGGGAACTGCGTGGAGGTCGACCTGATTGGGTGTATTGCTAGCAATGGGTTTATTAAACCTCATTACTAACAATCCCTTTCCCCGCCATGTATATATTAGTAGGTAATATATGTTTATGAAATAAAATATCCCAGATTATATAAAATGTATATATCCTGAAGTTTTAACTTATAAATCAGAATAAAAAAAATTGTATTAATCTTGAATATGATCTATCTATGTGCCAAATTTCATTCAAATATATTCAGCTATTTAGGCATAGATAATTGAATAAAAACATCTAAACATTCAAATCTTTATTAAGTAAAAAATAGGATGTTTATATAACATATAATATAATCACTTCTAAACTACACGAGCGAGAAATCGCATCTAATATCAAACATACTAATATGATTTTAATTAAACAGAACCGTAGAAAATTCGCGCAGTTTGGTCACCCTCCGACTAACGCGCAAGGGCACCTTAAGTTAGGGTAAGTGATCGAGGGATAAAACAGTTCAACATTATTTAGATTTTATGATAATCGGTAGTAAAAGTGACTACTCTTATATGATCATAAAATAAATAAAAAAGCAAATTCATTTTATTAAGTAAATAATAAAGAATATTTTTTTAATTTTTTAACGTAGCTGTCCAATTAACTTGATGTATAAGAGATTATTATGAGTTCTTGCCTGCATCTTTTATTTGTAGTTATCTTTTAACACTTACATATTTACATATATCATCGTTTTGGAAGTAAAAGGAATTGTTAATAATGAGATCTAACTGCCCCATTGCTAGCAATGTATTCTATCAGGTCGACCTCTACGCGGTTCCACATGGAAACGATCGTGATTAATAATTGTTGAATTCGTCACGATGGGCCAACTGACCTGCTTCATCCTCACCTCTTACTAATACCTCGCCAATATATACTGATAGCGCTGGCGGAGTCTCTATTTCATTTTCACCCATTAAAAAATATCTATTCGTAATAATATACCTACGTAAACAGGAATACAAATAAATTGTCGTATCTTAGACTACGTAGTTCATCATACTATGTCTATGCGTAATATAATATTGGCGTAGATTCTATTTATAATCTGAGGTTTTATACTACTAGATAGATATCATTATATCTATCTATGGCCGTTAAAAGAATTAACCAGAGTTTTATACGTAGCAAACAATATTATAATAATAATCTTGTTTCAAAAATGGAATATAGAACTATTAAAGAAAAAATAACATCAATGTCATGTGTTAAATCATCAACATCACGATCCTAGAAATGTGCTCTATGAACTGTCCCCTGCTGAACATAAGCCTCTCCTATAAAGGGGGAGTTTTGTCAGTAGCTGCTACGCCTTAGCAGACGAATTGGCAACCGCAGTTAGGATTTAGTTATGTTTTGAGAGGAGCACTGCTGTCCATTCCTGACCTTTAAGTTCCCTTAGTCGCCTCTTATGACACCTACGGGAAAGAAAGAGGTGCCTCATTCAATGCCAGAGCACCACATGATTATGATAAATATGAATGGCAAATGTAATAATACATTTCCCAGGCTCAGAGAAATCATTTTCAATGAGTTTCTTTTGTTTACTTTTAAAACATTGTCAACATTATTTTGTATTTATATATACCTACCATATTACTGGAGGGAAAGAGATTGTTAGTAATCTCGACTAATGGCCCCACTGCTAGCAAGCCCTGTCAAATCGACCTCCACCCGGTTCCCCCTTGAAACCATTGTGATTAAAACTTCTTACATTCATCACGATGGGCTAACTGACCTGCTTTCATACTCATCTATCATCCTTCTGTGGTGTCCCGCCAATGTATACCGATAGCACAGGCGGGGTCACCATTTCATTATCATCTATTAATAAAAAAAAACTACCATATTACTTATCCTCTTAGCTTATACTGTACTAGTACTAATATTAAATTAGAAAATAAAACATCATTACAGATTTATATAAAAGTATATATAATTTAATGAATGAAACTTAAATAGGCTAGTGCAAATTCAACTTAGTGGTAATGAGCACTCTGATGCACTGGTCGTAAGCAGTGGCGATGGCTAGACCCGTGTGGTCGCGATTCCAGTCCAGCGCGTTGATCGGCTGCGAGCTGATCACCATCCGCTGGAGTCGCTGCAGCTTGCCCGGAACACCGCTAGCGACGCCCTTGTCATCCGTTCTTACTCTTTGCTCGGGATATTGACTGGAAGTTATTCATGATTTTTACCAAAAATACAGACAAAATTAGTATGAGAACAACGTTATACACTATCAATTGAAAAAATAATCATCAGAATCGGAAAGATATTGCGCAACATATATATTAAAAACCCCGTCAAATCGGGAATAAGCTCGTAAGCGTTGTTTCCTTAGTCGCCTTATTTTGATATTTATGGATACAAATAAATAAACTTATACTTGCTGCCTTTGTCCAGCATTTAATTTAACCACAATATAATGCGTTAATCTTACTAATTTAGCTATATAGCTTGTTTGCCATTCTAAGTTGTATAAAAAAAATGCCAGTTTTCGTTGTAATTTTATAACTCAAGAACGGGCTCACCTATCCAAACCAAATGTTTAGGCCTTGTTCGTACTATTTAGTAGATGGTTTATATGAAGTTTGCACAAAATCGGTCGAGCGGTTCTTCATTTATCACATCTTTTGTAACTAATGAATTCAATAAATGGCGGATCATTTTGTTATTGGGGATTTTTGTGTCAAATTCAAACTTTTTTTAAGATGGGGATTGTGCTATGAAATTGAAACTTTTTCAGTGTCGACAGTACAATTAAAATAGCTAGCTAATTAATAAAATATTTTTTTGTTTGAATAAATGAATTTGATGTTAAAATTATCATTTTTTTATTATTTCACTTTATACGTAGCGAAATACGTACCGAGCCGCTAATATTAGTAAATCGTAATTAAAGCATGTCTGTACATAGAAAAAAAAATTGATATGACACTTCATAAATAAAAAAATATTTTTTAAAAATGTTGTCTACATATATTTTTGCTCCGGTGTCACATCAAATACCACTGCACCAAATTGTTGTTTTATAGTTGTATTCCTAAAAGTCTTACTTAAAACTTTGTACATTTTATCATGATACGCCATCTAGAAATGGGTGCATACTTCCAAAATCCACGCATAAGAAATTATTCAGTCGTTTGGAACTAATAGAATACATTTATAAAATCACTAGCTTTTACCCGCGACTTCGTCTACGTGATCTGGATATGTTTACTGACCGAGATAAAAAGTAGCCTATATCTTTCTCACTTCTCCACCCCTTATAGTACATGTATACCAAATTTCATGGTAATTGGTTAAACCGTAAAGGTGTTAAAAGATAACAAACAAACAAACTCACTTCCAAATTTATAATATTATAGTACCTAAGGATTGTTAAATAATAAATATATCTACCTACTTAATTATTTACTGATTAATGTAAAAAAGTCCCTTCTGCATCTGTAGGCAAAGTACTTACTATTTCCATAGAGACACCTGTCCATTGCCAGCGCATGTTACGAATAGATCCCGGTTCTGGGGTAGGTGGCGGGCCACCCAGATCGTGCCGCTTTTCGATGAGTTGTCGAGGACCTGAAACCGATACCTGGTCAAGAGCGAGTTGGATGTTCGCATCAAAAATTCCGTACTTATTTAATCAATAAATTTTAAAGTATTATTACTACCAAAAACAAGTCACAAGAACATTCAGTCCTCAGGAATGGAAACGCATGAAAGGTATCATGGGCGTCACACAGAGTCATAGCTAGTAGCTTTTGCCTTACTAACTAGAACTTTTTGATAGGCAAGGCATAATTAAGTAACTTCGAAAAAACTAATCTACCTTATTTTCTTTTTAAAGCCATTCCTTTTAAAGTATGGCATTGGGACATTTAAGGTAGGGCATTACCCTCAATGCCCCCCTCCCCCCTAACTACAACCATTACGTCACAGAATATTCTCTATGATGTCTATGTGTTTATTCATGTATATAGGTAACCACTTTCAATCAAGTGGTCCATTAACTTATTCTCCATTAGAAGCTGCATAATAAGCCTTGATACTTTTATTATTTCGATATCGAATCTTAAAAATAATGAAAGTCATAGGTTAATCTGATGAACGCTCACGCAGGTACCTGTGCAAATCCTTTCCTGGGGTTTTGTGTCCTCACATCAAACACATGGAACTTGCCTTCCAAAGTAGTTGCAACTATCTTGTTCATTGGAATATCTTTGCGATCAAACTCAACGGAACATACCTGTAAAAAGTGAGTAGATAAGTATACTAGAATTCCTTATTTGATAATAGGTTTATTTAACTAAGACAACATTCGTGGCATAGTGGTAAGCATGTTGTGTTCCGTAAATGAGTGTGCGTAAATCGAAATCAGAACAGTTTCAATACTTGATGAGACCAATTATCTCCGATCTGGATATTCTACGAGTGAATAACAGATAAAATATATCATTTAAACCACATACGTATTGTGTGGACGTCACAGTATATTCCGTGATGTTCGTGGCATTGTTTGTAAGTAATGGTTACCACTTTCCAGCTTGACTATTAGCTTGTTTCCCATTCCAGAACGACGCCAATGAATTTCTTACCCCATTCTTCAAGTTGCATTCCCATCTGAGCGACATTGTTCGAAGGTCGAACATTTTCAGATCTCCATTGTCGTACCCAGCCATGACAATTCTCTCTGTATCACTGAACGAGTTTCCGAAGGCAACCGTCCAGCAATCACGCTTCGTCTCGCCTTTCATAGGTTGCATGTTTGCTACTGGTTTTCCTCTTTGGCGGGGATCCCATACCTTTACAGTGCCTAAGGATAAGAAATCATCGCTGGAAACGTTAATAGACGCAACCAGAAGATTGCTATTTTAGGGAAAATATTATTTCATAATTTAATTTTAGTGCTTTTATTAAATTAGGTGCTATTCTTTACATGCAAGCCTAAATACATGACACTTCAATTCTCATACAATGAGAACATATCAAACTATATATCTTTATCAATGGTGTTCTTGTCTATTAAGAATAAATACTTTCTGTTATATAAATCAACAGGTTGTTTTTCATTATAAACTATATTATGAGTCCTTACCATCCCGGCTTCCAGTAACAATTTCTGGTGCCCCACAGTTCATTGTATTCCCACCCATGCCATCTATTGAGTTAATAATATCTGTATGCTCTTTTGTAATGTAAACTTGACAACTCTTCTCCAAATCCCTGAAAAAGAAAAATTTAAGTTTTTAAAAAAATATACAAATATATAATCAATATATGTACTACAAGTCATGACTTTTTGAAATATGTTAGCAGATTTAAATGAATATTTATCACTCTTTATAATAAAGAACTATGTGATCCCAGCATAGAATGTGGCCACTTCTTTCTTTCCCATGTTGTAAGAGGTGAGTAAAGGAATGCACAGCAGAGTCCTTCTCAATATGTCACCATAAACATAACTATGGTTACCAAGACACCTACCAAGTGTGGAAACTACTGGCAAATCTCTCTTTATGAAGAAGGCCTATGTATAACAGTGGACAGGTAATGAATAATGATGATAATGGCAAAAATGAAGAACAGCAAATTATATTTAAATGAATTGACCATATCAACTCACAGTGAACTCATTTCCAGCTCTGGCATTTGCCAGAATTTAGAAATGTCAGGATTTTTCAATTACTTAACAAAACACAAAGATACAGATTTATTTTAAAAAATCCTGACATGTAAAACAAATTTTAATTATTAGAAGTTTATTTGATTAATAATATTATATCAAAAGTTAGTATTTTTCCATGTAAAAATTGAAAATTTCTTCAAAATTTCTCAATATTTCATATGGGTACCTAACATACCTGAATGGAGACAATCCCATTGCTAGAAATATACCCAAACATGTTGACCTCCTCGCGGTTCCCCCTGGAAACTATCATGGTTGATTCCTGATGAATTCATCATGATGGGCTAACTGGCCTGTTTTCATTCTCATCTATCACCCTTCACTGGTGCTTCGCCAGTATATCCAGTTAGCACAGGCGGAGTTACCATTCCATTTTCACCCATCAAAAAAAAATATACATATAAGGTACCCTCCTTATATTTTGTCCTAGTAATATTATGTAAAATACATTGTGTGAACATATTATGCAACACAGAATGGCAAACAAGCTATTGGCCCACTTGGTGGAAAGTGATAACTTTTGCCTATAGACATGAACAGTGCTATGTACTAACTAACATAACTGTTTCGCCCATACTACCCCCATTCATTGCCATTTCTGAGGACATAGGTGTTATTCCTCTGTACCCTGTAAATTCACTGTCATTCCACCCTTGAAACCGAAACACAGCCATGCAAACGACTGCTTCACGGTAAAAACACGAATGGGAGATAGGTTTGGGTACCGACTGACGACTGGCAAACGATTTTTGTCAACAAAACAAGAAAGTCTCCTTCTGGTACTTCTTCTACTACAAGAGCCTGTTTGGACTTATTTATCTGACTACAAACCATATTTCTAAAGTTCCTTTGAAGTCTCCTGTAGCCAATTTCCTTTCCACATCATTACTGGCTCCAAACGTCCCACATTTGAATGAATTAGGTCTTTCAATTTCTTTTATTTTCTTAGCTTCACCCGAATTTATCTCAAACAATTCAATTGTTCCACTGCCCTTTGGTAATGATCCAATAACAACAAATTTTGCTGAACAGGGTACCCACTTACAGTCAAATAAAGAATGATTTAAATTATTTTCAATATGAGTAATTATTTGCGGAGTTTCTAGATCCTCCATTATATTATAAAATAATTAAGTGCAGAAAAACTGCGATGTTAAAATTTTATAACCTAGAACATCTGACAATAAACAAAAAGGTTGCTATAGCAACAGCAATACTTAATTTTTTTTTGTCACGAATAGTAAATAGTGTCACGCACTAAGTTAATTTTGTATTTTTTTTTTTTGTTTTTCTAATATATTGTGTACCATCATAAATAAAATGAACAAAACACTATATGTATGTATGTTTCATTCAAATTCTATTTATTATCAAAGCAAAGACCAAAATTTTCTGTTGTTGAACGATTGCTCTCAGGTCAGCATCACTACGAATAAAAGACTATTTGAATAGTCTATGTAATCAGTTCCTTAAAATTAAAAATTATACACTATAAACTACCCAAATTTTTTTATAACTTTTACCGATATCAAAATAATTAAAACAAAATTGTATTGTAAATATGAATAGTACAATTATGAATGTAATTTATTTCTTTGTCTTGTAATTTCTGGATTGTTGCATAAATGAGTTGTAGTTTTGTTAATTAAAGCTAGTGCCGACTCTTTTAGTGCTAAAGTGCTTATACCTTCTATCATTTCTTACATCCTTTAATAATTTGTATTCCAAATTTCTAATTATTTTTGTAATCATTAATTTGAATTCATAATTGTATGTTTAAATTAAAATTCGTGTAAATTATTTTTCAATTAATCACTTTACAAACATACAAAAATGAGTGACAAAAAGTATAAGCAAAGTGTAAGTTTATAGACATTCAGAATTTGTTTACCTCTATATTAATCACTTAATTAACGCCAATTTGATTATTTTTTGCAGAAAGCTGACATAGCTAAACAGTTTGACCTGCCAGAGAGGCAATCAAAGATAACCACGCTACTGAATCAGGCTGGTCAAGCATATTGCATATGCAGATCGTCCGATAGTTCGCGATTTATGATGTAAGGTCTTGCACACAGTACATTACAAGTTATAATATTATACTTAATATTTTACAGAATGGGTAAATTATATTTTGTATTAGATTCTGACCTAATCGCATTGGACTATGCATGTAAAGTTACGATAATATTTATATAAAAATATTTATTCATAAAGTATCAGATATTTGTAAAGACTATTTTAAAAGTATTCCCTGTATCACTAGAATGTTAATTTTTAAATCGGTTTGATTAGAATTTTAAGTTATATCTCTTTTTGTAACACAATCGTGGCATATAAGCATACAGCCTATCTGCAGATAAATGGTCACTGTAGTCTATTAACACTTAAAGATAACTAGAGGTATTATTTAATGTAGAGTTTAATTTGTAGAAATAAATGTTTAAAAATATATTTTCACACATATGTGTTTCCTTTGAAAAGCAATATTAGAGGTGAAGTAATAAATATTATATATCAGAATAGCTAAACAACAGGTTTTAAGATCTCTGAACTGTTCCATTGAAAACATAACTGTTCTAGTTTCATAACTGACTGCCTGACTAATCACAGAACATACTCTTCTCATATCTAGCATGTGGATTTTACTTGTTAGAAAGAGATGTAAGCTTTCCTTTGCTCTAGAACAATCTTCTATGTTGAAACAGTGTTTTAATATAATATTGTGTTATTTTGGAACAGCCCAGTTACTTCCATTTCAAAGAACTTCTAATCAATATTGCTACAGAGCATGTGATGCATGTGAGGAGTGGTACCATGGTGACTGTATCAACATATCAGAAAGAGAGGCAAAATACATCAAGACCTACTTCTGTGACCGATGCAGAGAAGAGGACCCCAGCCTCAAGACAAGGTTCAGGCCACAAAAAAGAGAAAATGAGACAGAGTCAAGTAAGACTATAAATTATGTTGCAAGAAGATGAAATTAATACATTAGCATGATAGCTCAAATAATCAATGATCTACTGCAGTCTAAAAACCCTAAAATGAAATCCCAACCTAGACCTTAAAATTCCCATAAATAAATCGTAAATTTTGGACAGTGCTAGTAGATCCCAAATAATTGAAATAAGGGCAATAAAATTTTGTTGAATGACTACATTTATTAAAATAATATGTTGGTATTTTTAGCACTAATTGTAAAATATTAATGGGTTATATATTTAAATTATTGACAAATTTGATAAAAAAATTGTAACATTTAAATTACAAAATAATGCGTAGTATTGTTATTAGAGTTTAATGTGGATAAAACTGTTATATTTGTATGAATTAAATCAGGTCGAGATGATCGGAAAAAGAAACGGAAGGAGAAGGACCATTCCGAGAACAAATCATCAAAAAGAGGTAGCACTAAGGATGGTTGTGGTGAATGTGAAGGCTGCCGACAAACACATGATTGTGGACAGTAAGTAATAATAATTGATATATTTAAATTATATATTAAAAATACAGCAGGTAAAAAGTTAAGAAGTTATTTTCTGAAAACTACAGTATCAATTTGTATTAACACACTATGAAGGTGATCTATTATTGCTGTGGGCAATCAATGGCTTAGATAAATAATGATTTGATTATTAAATTTAATAAAAAAATTATTATTCTGACTAAAATGACTCTGGTGATGAGTAAAATAAAACGCATTTTACATTATATAAGTTTAATTTTAGTATATATATATATATACTGATAATATTAACACTAAAAAAAACATTTAACATATTTATGTATGGATATAACTGTGCTAATTTGCATATGTTTAAAGTAAAATTTATATTTTTAACACCACCTACCCATTCATTCTTTGATTCCTTTTACCCAAAGGTCTGGAAGAGATTGCTTAGCAATTAAACTAGCTTTTGTACTACACTATGCTTATTGAAAATTCTTCAACAAGTCCCGTATAAACTAATATTAGTGCAATAATGTGTTAAATAAATAAATATTCATCATTAATCAAATATCAACTGTTAAGTTCCCTTTGTCGCTTTTTACGACACCCAAAGGATAGGAAAGGATTACCCATTCTATGCTGGAATTTCAAGTCGTATTACTCTGATATTAATTAGGGTTAAATAATATCATTTTCAGAGAGATTTTTTCCACAGTTATTTTTATAGTTTTTTTTAAGTCAATGAAACGCTCATACGCACAATGGCCCAAATGAGAGGCTAAGTGCGGAAAATGGAGTCCCTTTCACATTCACATAAGTCAATGAAAATACTGACCAATAGAAAATAATGAGCAAGTGAGAAAGAAGTCAAATCAGTTAGTTCCTTGTGACAACTCGTTAATCAGCTTATATGCTGTATTATGTGATAACCAGGGGCTAACTTCTTGTTACAAGAGTTAGCAATGCTTAATTAAAATGGCCCCATACACATTTGCAATATCAAATGAATATAAATAATTATAATAAAATATAAAACTTTATTATTATTAACTCTACAGCTGTGATGCTTGCGAGGACATGTACAAATATGGTGGCAGCAATAAGTTGAAGTTGAAGTGCAAACAGCGTATATGTGTCAAGAGCAAGAAAACATCTAGACAGTCGAGGTAAAAATGTGTCTCGATAATTATTACTATTAGATTTCAATATGCTCTGTGAAATGGTGAATATAAGAATTGTCTGCAAAATATATAAAGTAATTTTTTATTCAACATATGATGGCAAAAACTGATGACTCACCTGATGGAAAATGTTAACTATCTTCTATAGACAAGGATATCACAGAAAACACTATTGTCAATGGTACCCCTCATACTTTCAAATCTCTTGTTTATTAAAAAAAGTGATACCAAGATATTGTTAATGAAAAAATACCTTTTTCTATAAACAGTACAAGAATAAAGAAGAAACACCACGAGCGGGAGACCTATGAGCCAGAGGAGTCGATATCTCACTTGCAGACCGCGGAGCCGCGCCAATGCTACGGGCCGCAGTGTACACGTGCCGCCCAGTACGGCTCCAAGTACTGCTCCACGCAGTGCGGCATGAGGCTCGCCACCGCCAGGATATATCAGGTTGCCTATTTATATTAGCTTTACAATACTACAAAATAGGTTTGCCTGTTAATAGTGGTTACAAACCAAGGCAGTTTGCAACACTGATGTTAACTAGAGGTAACGTGTGTGCTAACCCAAAACACGCTTACCTATTAAATTCAACTTTTTGAAAATATATCATCATCGTCATTATATCAGTATTTAACTGTCCACTGTTGAACATAAGCCTCACCCCCTTGGGGGGTTTTGCCAGTAGTTACCACCCCATAAAAGCCGACTAAGAGGGCGAGAAATGGACAGCAGCTCTTAAAACGTCTCTAAAACCTGACTGCTGTTGAAAATACGAGGTCTGTCCGGAAAGTTCGTATAAAAGTGTTCTGGAATGCGAGAAAGAGGAGTGGGGAGGCCAGGTAAGCGCAGGACCCCTTCCTTATGTCCCTAACAATGCTTCAGTTCTGGTCTGACCGCCGTGCGGTGCGAACTGGCTTGTCACGCCATCTGTGAAGTTACCTCTTAACGAAACCCCGTCGGCATGGAGCCCGCTTCCGTTGAAGAGCAGCGCGTCGTAATCAAGTTTCTCTCGAAACTCGGCAAGAATGGCCGTGAAATTTTTGCCGATCTCAGAACAGTTTATGGGGATGATGCTGTGAAGGAACCAACCGTCCACAAGTGGCTAAAAAGATTCAGAGAGGGCCGAGAAAGCGTTCAAGATGACCCACGTTCAGGACGTCCTTCCACTTCACATTCCGACGAAAACGTGGAAAGAATTCGAACTTGTGTTAATGGGGACCGTCGTTTAACGGTCAGACAGGTGGCTGAAGAGCTTAATTTGGGCAAAACCGTGGTCCACGAAATTCTAAGAAACGAACTTCAAATGAAAAAAATTTGCGCCAAGATCGTTCCGTGAGTTTTTGAGTAAAAATTCCATTACGGTGACCGAACACCCCCCCTATTCGCCGGATTTGGCCCCGTGTGACTTCTTCTTGTTCCCAAAAACCAAATTGGTACTTCGGGGGCGGCATTTGGGGGACATAAATGAGATAAAAAAAGCTACGACGGGGCAGCTGAGAAACCTACAACCAGAGGACTTTCAAGGAGCCTTCTCACAGTGGAAACGGCGTTGGCACAAGTGCATTATGTCACAGGGGGAGTACTTTGAAGGGGATAAAATTGATTTACCTGAATAATTGTAAAATAAAATTTTTAAAAAACTTTTATACGTACTTTCCGGACAAACCTCGTATATATGTTACATAATTTTGCATTTGTGTTTTAGTAATTTTAATATACAACTCCTCTAGATGACTGCTAGTTTATTATTTAATATATAATATAAAGATTTTATACTATTAAACTACTGTACTGTGATTCAGTCTCATATTCATTCATATCCTTTTTTTTTTATACAACTTAGAATGACAAACAAGCTGACGGCCCACCTGATGGAAAGTGGTAACCGTCGCATATAGACATGAGCAGTACCATGGACATAACAGAGTATACTGTTTCGCCCATGATACCCCCATGCGTTGCCATTCCTGAGAACTCAGATGTTATTCCTCTGTACCCTGTAAATTCACGCCATATCCCACCCTTCAAACCGAAACACAACCATGCAAAAACAACTGCTTCCCGGTAGAAGCTAATATCCTCAAATGGTCTGTCCATGTGGGATGTTTGTAGTCAGAAGTGGATGTTTAATTGAATTAACTACTAATTGTTCATAGGTGCTCCCTCAACGTATTCAAGAATGGTCATTATCAAGTTGTGTGGCGGAGCAGAAGAACCGTAAGGCACTGGAAGGGGTCCGCTCGAGTATGGCACGCGGGCAAGCCGCCCTCCGCGCCCTCGACCGGCAGCATCACGAGCTCGATGCATTGGTCGCGCGGGCTCGTGGCGCCACCATCACCCAAACCGACGATAAGGTAACACACACTAATATCACTATTATATACAGCATATAGCAATATAAATAATACAAATTTGTCAAAGTCATTCAAGATCCTTTATTTTAAAATACTTTAGCCTATAACCCCTATCTGTGCCAAATAAATAAATGTGTACTTACTAAATTTCATGCAAATAAATTTTTTATATATATATATATATATATATATATATATATATATATATATATATATATATATATATGATATACTTATAGATATGGGACCACCCTAGAAATTTTCTCGAAGTCAGTTCAGTAGTTTAGTTTTTAGGTTAAAATAACAATTTGAAATCTTTTATCTTGTGAAACACTATCATAAATTATTAATAAATCTTATTTCTTACCAGGAAGCGGACGACGAGACCTCCATGTACTGCATCACCTGCGGCCACGAGATCCACTCGCGTACAGCCGTCAAGCACATGGAGAAGTGTTTTATGAAATACGAAGCGCAGGCGTCGTTCGGCAGTCGGCATAGGACCCGCATTGATGGACAGAGCACATTCTGTGATTACTACAATCCTGTTAATGGAACATACTGTAAACGGCTTAGAGTAAGTTCGTCTTCATTTACGTTGATTTATAAACTAGATATTGTTAATAAAAAAAATTATCTATGATTATCTAAAATTGCAAAATTGCAATTATCCAAATGGTTGAACTGTTTCTAAAAGTAACCCAAAAAGTACCATATAGTTGTCTGCAAATACATATTATATCAACACTCTTAACTAAACGGGAGATGAACAATAAGCATCAGCTGTAAACTGTCTACTGCTAAACACATTCCTCCCCCATAAGAGGGGGGGGGGTTACCAGTGGTAAATATTGGCACGTGGGTTAGCAACCACAGATAGGCTTTGGTGATATTTAAAAAGGAAATGCTGCCCATCCCTCGATCCTTAGTCGCCTCTTACGATACCCACGGGAAAGAAAGGCATGGCCCATTCATTATTAATACATAAATATTATATTAAATTAAATATTATATTATATTAAATAAGTGATTGTTAAAAGGTTTTTTAACAATCACTTACATCAGTTATTATAATAATGTCCATTATTTAGGTAAATCATGACTTACAAGGTCTACTTTCATCAAGCCATCAGCTTATTTACGATTTACTATGTGCGTAAATAAATATATCTGCACCTTCACATTTTCCAGGTAATGTGTCCAGAACATTTCAAAGACCCCAAAGTGAACGACACAGATGTCTGTGGGTGCCCACTAGTACGGAACGTATTTGAGCCCACGGGCGAATTCTGTCGTGCCCCCAAAAAATCGTGTTTGAAGCATTACCAGTGGGAGAAGTTGCGACGCGCTGAGATCGATATGGAGCGGGTTAGACAGTGGCTACGGCTGGAAGACCTTGTGGAACAAGAGAGAAGCATCAGGCTTGCTATGGCATCTAGGTAATATATGTAAAAAGAGAGACATTATACTGTATTTAATCTTTGGTTCAAATAACAACCAAATTGATTGTGATTATGTATGAATCTGTTTGATATAAAAATTTATGTGAGGTTTCTATTTCTCCTGTTATAGTTAATAGACTTAACTAAAGGACAAAAAGTGGCTTTTTGTTGCTACATTTGATTGTAATGTAGTCGGTAAAATATATATAATTTTTTGGCCGCCACTCCGTACGTGTAGATTTCAAAAATAGGCAAAGCAATTAAAAAAACTACTTCTAGATGGTATATCAAGATAAAATATACACCAAGTTTTAATTTAGACCTTCATAAATACAGCTGTGTAAATCGCATCCATTTTACTGCAGTAAATTGGATGCGATTTACACGAGTTTTTTGCATGCTACCAGAACAAGCAAATAGACAATTTTCTAAACAATATTGTTTTAGTATCTACTGAACTTATTAAGACCATTCATATCATTTTTTTTTCTTAAATATTTCCCATGTACAGATTTCGTCTAGTTATAATTTAATTATATTTGTAAGATAAAAACAAAAATATATTAATTGGATATTATATCCACCACATAAACAATCCATATAACACATCTGACTACCTTTTTGAAATTATAATCGTTAGTATATTGAAATATCATAGCATAAAATAGTAGTAACCGTAATATATACATAGTTTTATTAACTGGAATTTAATTATCAGGGCTGGTGTACTGGGTCTCATGCTGCACTCCACATACAACCACGAGGTGATGGAGCGCATCACCAACAAAGTGAACGAGAATGGAAAACTAAAGGACGGCTCTTGACAGCGGCACGAGCGGCCGCCCGCGCGTCCGCACAACACGGCGGTTCAGAAGAGCCAAGGATCTTCTTAATTAAAATATTACATATTAAAATCTTAATATTAGTTGAAATTATAAATATACCAATAATTTCGTAATTTTTGTTGTTCGACTTTAACAGAGGATATTGACAAAATTTCGCTTCCCTCTACATAGGTCACAAACGAACCTATTTATAGATATGTTATCGCTACTGCATACATGAGACAGAACTAAACACCAACGTCTGGCGTGTTGACCTTTCTCATGCATATGCTGATAGAAACATCTATCTACAATCTGGCTAGTATCACAGTATTTATTTCTATCTATATTGGGGTTTCAATCAACGGTATGTGTACACATATTTTTATCATTGATCAGCTCTCTACGAACCACAGACGAATTAAATAAAACAGCATGTCAATTTTCTAACTCAAAAGAGCAATTTTATTATTCTAGCACTTATAATAAATTAAATTAAGGCTAGCGCATTCAGTTCTTATTACCACTAATAAATGTTAGAACAAGTTGAACAATTGTGCACTTCAGGGTTTTAGGTAGTTTATTGAATTAAATAAACATGAACAAATTTATCTTGAATACTAACAGGTGTGCTTTTACTGCAAACACATTATCAATGATTATTACATGATCATTACAATAATATACACATTACAACCAATATAAAGATAATTTTGTTCACTTTAATAGAAATTTGTGTTATATTAAAAGCACTACCTTAAACAATATTATGCATTAATTTATCACGAGTATGATACACAGCTATCATTAATGAGAATTAAATATTAAATAGGCAATGCAAAAGAGAAAAAGCATAGTAAATACATGATAGAGCGAGTTAAACAGAGGAGACAATCAATTCAATTAAATCTTATCGGTCTGGCATCAGTTGTTACAAATTTAATTATTATGCTTATCAGTTTTTAAAGTGCAATTTGGTGCTTATATAATCATGTTATAAAGCAAACATATTCACATAATATACAACATGTACAAGAGAGTAATTTATTTTTTAGTCTCAACCATACATTAGATATCGCCCTTATTATCATTGCATTACCAAATAAATACGTCAGTAGACAATACTATATATTTTGTCGTGACAACACAAATCCTGAAGTGCAGAACCATCATCAAAAGCGTTACTACATTCATGAACTTCCTCACTCTAATGAAAATAATGCTAAATATAAACTAGTGCAATGTAATTATTTTTTAAAACACATTGATGCCGAGTTGATGCCACACTGCAGTTGCTGAATACCTATTGCCGCATGTCAATACAGTTCAAAGCGTTTCCTTGGATTTCTTTATACAGTCAGCTTCATGTAAAGTTTACAACCAAGAATGATCAAAAACATCATGTGGGAGATAATTTCAATTGTATGTATTTACTTCATCAGAACATATGACCATTAAGAATTGTCAATATTATATTAACAACATATTTATTGTATTTTCTTACATAATTAATTATATAAAGAAATATGTTCAATTAATTGTTTCAAGTTTAAATTATAAAAGTTAAATCTTTATGAAGCCGACTGTAGGTTTCTGTTAAATTGTAACAGAAAAATAGGGACACTAAATTACAAGAAAAAGATCGAAAACAACTGGACTGGAAGTACACAAGTCATTAATTTGCCCATCACGTCTACGTAACGCAGCTACTATTAAAATATAAAACGCATTCCGCTGATAACATTCCTACACCGACATTATCACTTACATAGACTCTTTAATTTTTTTTCCATCCAACGAATTTAAAATTACCTAAGCATGCTCAATTTAGCAATCAAGATCGATTGAAACAAATTTCACACGGGTCGATTTGAAAGCCCATAACACGTGATATCACTAACTAGTGAAATTCATATTGTACAAAAACTTCCATTACTCCATAAGCTAATGATTGCTAATTTCTAACTTATATTATTTTTACAACGAGCTCATAGTTGGGACTTGAATGTGCTGCTAAATATTTTCATTATAAATTGATAGAGGAACAGAGAAGTTCAGGTTACATTATTACATCGTACATGGCAATTAAAAATATATTTTAATGTTCGGAAGTATTAACAACAATTTAATAATTGTTACATATTGAATATTTATAAGAAAATAAACATAGGATTAGTTAGTAGTCGTTACTATAGATATGAACAATATTCACATCACAGATTATATTGTAAATCAATCGTCAATATCATGCAATGACAATCACGTAGCTAGCCATGATCCTTAATTGCACAAACTTTTCATTATTTTAAACCAAACTCCTTTTTTAACAACAGTTATGAGAGTACAAGTTATGAGAGTACAGTATCGAAATAGACCGTCTATAATTCTATGTAAGTATTTATAATGTAATAATTTCCAACTATTTTTTTTTATATTATGATGGTATCACGTATCTGATTCCTCCTCAAAACCAGATTTCAAAAGCGGGTTCATTTATTTATATCCAATTCAAATGAATCATATTAACATCCTCCTAAGGCAGCTCGCTTCTAATAGAATTTGTAGTCTTATTACCGATTGTGCATGCGAGCTTCAAATTGCGATCTCTTTATTAACATTTGATTTGTAACGCCATAAAATAAGTAGAATTTATAAGGGTTGCGTTGCATCTAATTATATTGAAAGGGTCTGGATTTTCATGGAGTAACGCTGAGTAGTTAATTAAGTTTCAGTGCAAACATTACATTACGAAATAAATCGAAATATAATACAATTCTGACACATCATCGTCAACATTCCAGCTGCTGCAACTAACACAAGTAAATTTGAATTTAGATATTATTTTTTATGCTGTATGTGCAAAAACATTACTATAGTGCTCTAGTTGTAAAAATGTAGTTTAGTCAGCGTCAAATAATAAAAATAAGACGTAAGACATACTTATATATAATCATTTAATCAATTTTTAACAATATTGACGAAGCATAATAATACAGTACAATTTTTAGAGATGAATCAATCAACAGCTTGTTCTCTTATGTATTTTAAATATTTAAATGTTACATTAGATTGCGTATATTTTTGTTATGTACAATGTTACATTACAAGAGCACATTCGCACATTACAATATTACGTCTTAACGTTTTCTCACTAATGTAATTAATGCTCGTTCTTATATTACATGTGAATGATCTAGGTGAGTATGCACCCTTAGATATATTTGATGCTGACTGTGCAAACAAAGGGTAAACAATATTTCGTACAGCTGGACCTTTCCTTATAGTCAAAAACATTATACATCCCAAAGATAGTCCATACAATAGAACCTTGGAATCTAATTATGATCTAATTAAAACAAACTGCTTATTATTATTGTTTGTATACAATATACATGGCATTCTATCACGCGTGGCGATACCCGTCGAACATTCTGGACTGACAATCTAGAATAACACACTGTGAGTGGAACCAAAAATTATTATTGATCTACAATGACCTGGCTCTATTACTAAAAGGCTTCCTTACAATTAACAAGCATTTCACACTACATAAACCCAACATAAATTACTTAACAATAATACAATTCATAGGAAATGATGTAATGAATATATTTACATTAATTACTTGATGAATATTCCAAACACACAAAAACACCGTTCGCATCAATTACAGGAACGTATTTATACTATCTGATAATAATCCAATCATCTCAATTTAAATAATTTATGCAAAAACGTCATTATTGTTAGGGAGATATGACACAAAATACCATTAACAAATAGAAGTAAAAAATAACGTAAAGCCCGTTACAATATTGATAAGATGTGAATTTTAAAAATAAACTTAACTTCTTTTACAATTACAACGTTGTCAATAACTTAATGTAGCGACGTATTATACAAAGCGATAAATACCTTTTTATTTTATTTGTTTTTTTTTTTTATTATTTTCATTTATTTCCTTGTCGTCATATCTTACATTGACTCTTATCAAATAAATACATGTCCTCTGTTATTCGAAGTCATTACAATAATCTTATTATTTAAATATACAAAACACCGTAAACACATCGATTTATGAACGTAATGCAGGCCACACACGTTATGACAAACCACTATTACTATCGCACTGTACAATTCGCATTAGTATGGTACCACAAGTAATATAGTCATAAAATTTTGTTCCGCAGTAGCATCGACAGACATCGAATTGTTAAACTGTTATTTTTTATACAATAAAAAAAAAATCAAGAAGCACAAATATTTCGTATAGTTAATTTGGTAACGAAATTGTTTTTGTACCAAAAACTATTCAACTGTCAATATGGAACAAACCGAGTCTTTAAAAAAAATATACTCAATTGATCGTCATAAAACCAAATTGGTAATTGTCGAAAATAATCAATACATCCACAGTATTAGGAAGCAGATAAAAATAATTGGATGAATTATACACTTTACTATTAAACTGCAAAGTCTGTCAATAACAGTAATTGAAATTTATCTTTCACCTCATTTACCAGTACAGTTAAAGTCGTAGAAAAGTGGATAGTCGTGTGTATGTGTTGGACACACTGTACAATTTATTTTTTATACAGTAGAACGTCCATTATTCGAACGTCGGTCATCCGAACAACTGCTTAACCGAACTGTTACTTAGCGGCACGCGTAAACATGCCACTTATAATTCAAATAATAAGAGTAAAATATGTATGTTGTTATTATTGATAAATAAAATTACTTAGTTCGATTATTCGAATAAACTGTTTACCCAAACATCCATGTCGCCCAATTAGTTCGGATAATAGACGCTCTACTGTATTTCGTAAACCGTATACGGCCTGCATTACATATGAGTTCGCGCAAACAATATTATATAGTAACGTAATTATTATCATTCCATTTCCAAGCTGTGTTCACGTTTAGCGCATTTTAATCAATTCAATGGTGGTCGCGTGTGCATCGGTGACGGTAAACGGTGAGATTCATATTTTATTTATTTATTTCATAATGTGAAATGATTACAAATGTATGGACCTTGTTGGCGGCATGATAATATTCTCAAACAATTGAGGATCAACATAACCGGCTGAGTCTGACACGTCGGAAGTCTCGTCGTTAATAGCATCTATGGCCTACGTGCGGGGACATCCGTTTGTTGCACTCGTGTACGTCGGCAGATGGCGTTCCTGCAACACAAACATTGAATAAATTTCGACGTCAACATACACCTACCATCCCGTATGTCGGCTTAAATCCAGCGACCTGGAGATTATGGCCTCCGGAGAAGAAAATGTGCTTTATTACTACAAAGAGAATGATTGACTGTTATTGAAGGAGCCTCCGAAGTTTTTTGAAAAAAGGCCAACTCATTCATGTAAGAACTATACCCAATATAACATTCCGCGCTACAGCAATATCTTTCCCATAGGCTAGATCAAATAAATTCACTTCACGGGATAAAAATTGTCTAATGTTAAAATTCAATATCGTCTCTTATTAGTAGCAGTAATCATATCGGTCGTTAACTATCCACTGCTGAACATATACCACCCTTATAAGGGGGTAAACAGTAGTTGCCACGCCTGGCAGGCCGATTTGGCAACTGCAATTACGCTTTGGGTTATCCATTCCTAGACCATTAAGTTCCCTTAGTTGCCACTTACGACACCCACAGGAAAGTTGGAGATGGCCCATTATACGCCGGGACCACACGGCGTAGTAGCAGTCAATATAAGATAAATTTAAAGTTTTGTTCCACAAAAGAACGTGACAAAACCAATTTGATAAAATTTCTATGGAAACAATGTAAAGATATATCCTTACAAATAAAAAAAAATCTTTCAAATAGATTTACAAATAATGGATATCCATGGTAACCAAAACAAAAATAAAATATTACAATTAAATTAACAACCCCATCTTTTTTTGAAGTCTGTTAAAAAACAAAAATAACTTCCTCCGGCGCAGTCGTTGCTATTAAATAAATACAATAATAGATCTTAATAATATAAATTTAGAATACAATTCTGTATACCTGCTGCGTACATGGTGCCGTGACCAGTGAGAAAATTCAGTCAAGGTTGTCCTGGAATATGAGCCGCACGTAACCGGGCGTGCCCTCTAGCGGCGCCGCGCAGAACGGACAAATGGCGTGGAACCCGTTCGTTCCGTGAGGGATATCCACCGTCGCCCAGTATCTAGATACGTGTGGATACATTAATAACTATTTAATTCATCCGCACACTTTACAAATACACACTGTTCAACTTTATTAATTGTATTTTTTTAGTTTAAACTACAATATTTTTCCTTTCTATTTTGTTAAACTTGATAATTTTCCATCTGTATATACAACTTCATTGTTCTAATTCTTGTACGTTGAAGCCTACTTTCAACATACAATAATTAGCAAGAATCCGAGAAATATGTAACAGTGCATACATACAAATAATTGTTAATACAAGATTTATATTATTACTATTATTATTTACAACTAGCAGTATCCCGCGGCTTAAATCGCGTGAATGAGTATATAAAGTATCCTGTATGCTTTTTATAACATTTGTGACTCTTTAGTTTGATATAACATTTTTATTTATGAACCGATTGAAATAAAACACTAGAGGTTAAGTAGAGCAAACCGTAATACATTAGTCAAAACTGTATTCAAATCGGTTGAGCCGTTTCTGAGATTAGCGTGCAGACAAACAGAGATAGCAACACAAAAAATTCTAATAATCATTGTTTTGGGTTCTGTTGCGTTCATAAAGCCTCCCTATAATAGTTTTTCTTATATATCTTCCATGTACAGACAGCGACCAGTTAAGATTTTATTATATGTATTAATTCTATATGACGCGCGTAAATACAAGAGGAACTGATGGTTTTTTTTATGCAACTGTGAATGACATACAAGCTGACGGCTCACCTGATGGAATGTGCTAACTGTCGCCTATAGACATGAGCAGTAGCATGAATATAACAGAGTATACTGTTTCGCCCATGATACCCCTCCATGGGTTACCATTCCTGAGAACCCAAGTGTTATTCCTCTGTATTCTGTAAATTCACTGCCATATCCCACCCTTCAAACCGAAACACAACTGCATCATGGTAGAAACACGAATGGGACAGAGGTGCCCAAGGAAACGACTTTTGTACAGTCTCCCCTCTGATAGTTATGAAAACTAAATGCGTCATTGCCTCTCGCTGTATCTCTGTGTATATATCTCTTTCTCACTAGCGGCATGTATCTCCGTATATGACATGAATATACTAACTTGACGGTCCTCTCAGACGCCATGTGCCCGCACGGGTTGAAGGCATAGGTGGGCGGGCCGGCGTCGACGTAGAAGGCTGGCTCGATGCCCATACAGACGCGGACCACGGGCCCGGCCGTCAGGCACATAGGGCACCGCCGAGCTCCGGCTTCCGTGCCCTCCGCTCCCCAAGAGTGCTCGCCTGTATAATAAACAATGTTCGACATCATCATACATCATACATACATAAATATATATATATATAATATCATAAACAGGAAACATTTAATTTTGTTTTTTGTAAATAAATTCAAAATCATCATCATCGTATCAGCCTTTAACTGTCCGCTGCTGAACATAAGTCTCTCTCTTGGAGGGTTTTGCCAAGATGTATTGGGAACCGCAGTTAGGATTTGGAGGTGTTTTAAAAGGGTGATGATGCTTAACCCTCGTCCTCCTTAGTCGCCTCTTACGACAACCACGGGAAAGGAAAGACGGCATAACTCAAAATATTCCTAATTTTATAAATTCTTTCACCTATATTACGCTAGATTATCAGTGAATAATAGCAACTATATTAAAAAAAAAACTGCGAAGACGGGACGGGTTGTTAGTATTATATAAAACCGAATGTTATTATATTTGAAATTAGATTATGAAAGCGACTGATATATAAGTTTCTTGCTAGTTATTGACTATATAACAAATTAGTACATACATACATACTGCCGCCACTCAATGTTTTATAAACATCGGGGTCAATTCTGAGGCGCAATTTCTCTAAATTTATGTCTAAAATTAAAATTTTAATTTGACATCACAGCAAAATCTTGATTCTAAGGATGAATATGAACTAAATTTGTAATAGATAAGTCAAAATTATTATAAATTCACTTTAGTAATTTCGTGAAACTATCGAATTAAAACATTAGGTTAAACATCAACGAAATAGCGCCTCAGAAATTGACTCCATTTTCTCAGTAACCGACTGTCATATTTATAGTGTTTTAATACCTCAACGCTTATTATAAAATTTGAATAAATGGCGCCAAGACCTATTCAACAAAATATACCTTGTACGTGTCCGCAGTTAAGATAGACGTAGGGCTGGTTGAGATCCTGCGAGCGCTCGTTGGCGGTGGTGGATAATCGGCGTGGTATCACCAGTGTGTTCAGCCCGACCGGGCACTGCGGCCGGCCCGCGTTCAGTTCGTCGACCAATGTCTCCAGGACACGCTTCGTCTGAGATAGAAAATACATGTTAGAAATCGTTTGAATCATATATTGTTCTATTCACAATTTGAAAAGACTTGAATTTGAAACTCAGATGGATTTAGAATTAAGAGAAATTTATGAAAATTAATGTTTGGAAATCAATCACAGACTAAGTTACTTCATAATTTGCATCAAAAAGTTTCGAATACTTTTTGCCATAAAACTCCCGAGTTTTCTGTGGCAGTTTAATAAGCATATCATTTCATGTTTCACTATTAAAGCACACTTTAAAATTAGAAATATTGATAAGTTGTTTTTAGAAATGGACAACCAATCCCGAAGTAAGTTAATACTTTAGTAATATTCGATACGAACGCTATTAATAATTTTAAAAAGACGCTAATGCCTTTTATTTCACTTTGCATAATAAAAAATATATTACCGGTGAATTTTTCAGTCCTTCTGCACTTCTCCAGAGCAATGTTGCTCCACACAAATCGATCATAGTCCCGTCTCTCAACACGTTAGTCTCCGATTGACATGGCAGACCCTAGAAAATATAAAATATAATATTTATATTATTTCAAAATACGAAAATACAATAAGTGACAATAAATGTTAAAATAAATGTTCCCATTCATGTCTCTACCATGAAGCAGTTGTGTTTGCATGGCTGTGTTTCGGTTTGAAGGGTGGGATATGACGTGAATTTACAGGGTACAGAGGAATAACATCTGAGTCCTCAGGAATGGCAACGCATGGGCGAAACAATATACTCTGTTATATCCACAATACTGCTCATGTCTATAGGCGACGATTACCATTTTCCATTAGGTAAGCCGTCAGCTTGTTTGCCATTCTAAGTTGCATAAAAAAATATAGATAAGCCCCCGGGACGAGATGCCCTACGCTCTCTATTACGGAAGTTATATGAAATTCTATACAATTAATTAAATTATTTGTTGAATTAAACAATATCAAGCGCCTAGGTTTTCATAACGTTCGTGAGACGGAAACGCGGCGCATCGGAAGCACATCCCCGAACGCCTGTTATAACTACTCCCTAATATTCATGGTGGTTGAATATTGTGTAACTTGGTTACGCAATTTCCTAGTAATAAACTAATATCAGTCATCTCCCTTCAGGCGTTTCCTTATTATTTGGTGTTGTTTTTGCCTTCCATTATTGTCTTAGCATGTTATTATTATCTTAGGTACTGCATAATATTATTGTTATTTCATAATTTCCTCAATGGATTACATTCTATTTAATACATTAAATTAATTTAAATTGTGATGTCCATAGTACATGTTCGTGCCTATGGCGCGACCATGTTTATCATTAGAATCATCAGCTTGTTATTATAAGAGTTGACAACGGATAGTGTTCTGGGAAATTGGTTGAGATGACATCTCCCTGAAATCTAAATGGATACTCACAGTACCGTTTTAGAGAAATTTTCTGCTTCGAACACTAAGATTAAGAAATGAGCTTACTACCGAAATTTTCCTAATATATGGGCTTCTTTGAAAAATACGTTATAACATTTCTCATTGGTCAACAACGCAGATGTGACACTCTTAATGTTACATACATCATTAATTATGGTTACCGTTAACCATCAGATAGGCCGTATGTTTTTTAACCACCAATTTCATGAAAGTTAGAAACCAATACAAGGAAGTAGATGACCGTACCTTCTGTTGTGCTGAACGACTTTCACGTAAAGAGAATACTGCGCCGCCTACGGAGGTCTCGCGCCATGGCTCACTCGTTGCACTGCCGCCGCAAAAGTCGCCACGTGGATGCATGATCAGGACACCGTTAGTCGTCAAGCCGTCGATTTCGTGGTTCTCTGTCCATTTTGTTGCTTTCTCCTGTAATGTGTTTCCATTAAATTAGTATTAACTTGTGTAAGCAAAACAGGCAAGATATAAAAATCGCACAAAGCTGTAAACTTTTGTTAAAAAACTTTTTTACAAAACTTTTCAGTTGTTTTTAACAGTTGAGTTTCTTGCCCGTTTTTCTCATCTAAAATTACATTCCGAACTGGGCGGTAGATTCATAAAAAATTACAATTAAAAATAATTAAGTTTACTTGTGTAAAAATATTTTTATTTTATTTAAAAAACAATATCGTTCTATACTAATTTAACAGCTGGACGCGTCGTATTTGTATAAAATAGTCTAAATTTTGTATCATTTTTCGAGTTACATTTCTTTAAACAAAACGCTTAGTTTCCCTAGTAAACTTAACTCGGTCAAGGGGTGCTAATGATACGATTTAATCTATATACTGATAGTTGCCGTTACATCTAAAACAGTAATGTATTGTACACTTCTACAAGTAAGTATTCACAGAATAAAAATGCAAAGTACGTATTTACCTAATTGTAGCCATTCATTGCAGCGCGACCGAAATACAATAAGAAATTGCTTCGCTATATAATTATAATGATTTTTCAATTGTTTCTATATTATAGATATTAAAAATTCGTTTTAGACAACTAAATTACTTGTTTGAGAACAAGGTTCATTTTAATTATAGCTGACTCTTAATAATTGGGAAAATTACTAACACAAAGGGGCAGAGGAAAAGAAAATACCAGTAGCTCAGTCAGGTCGACTTCCACGCGGTCTCCCTTGGCTATATTATCGGTGAATTCAGCACAGTGGATCAAGTGACTTAACTTCATCTTGATCCAGCTTATTCCGCCAGAGTAAAACAACAGTATAAACGAAAAAATAATTCAATTTTCATGCATTAAAATTACTTTTATTAAAATACATAATATTATAACCCCCCCCCCCCCCTATTTATAATAGATAGATCAAACCTCTCATAAACCTAACCTATTTAATTATAAAAGTATTTTGTTTTTTTCTTCTACACTAATATCTCAATCTGAAAGTCAGTGACAAAACACTCCAATAATTAAAATAAGTTTGTAGAGCGTCTAAGTCTTTATGAATAAAAGGGTAACAATATATATAATCTGTAATGTGTAATACTGATAATAAGAAACTATATTATTTGTTCTTATAACGTTATTTGTGAATTAATATTATTATTATTAAATACAATAGATAAAACAGATATCTAGTTAATACAAGCATATTATTAAAGACGGCAACAGCGAGTGCATTAAAATCAATAAATGTTTTAAATATTACTATATAAAGATAAGTGGGATTTTACAACTTTTCTTAAACACTCTGGTTTAACCCAAGTATGATGAAACAAAAATTCATTATGAGTTTCTTGATATTTTTTACTTGTAAAGATAAGCATTTGGCATTCGGTTCTCATTGTCTAAACCGTAAAGGATCAGGTCATGAAGGTAAATAGATAGGATAAATCAACTTAATAATATGACAATTTGCACACATAAAAATCCTTAATTTTTGTTTTAAAACTCTGTAGACATTGTATATTTCATATAAAAATTGGTAAACTATTCCATAACCATACAGCTTACGCAGTCAACGATTTGTTATAAAAACTAATAAAATATATTCAGTAATCAGTCAGTCATCAGCTGGAGGCCCACAAAAGACCTTAGATTGAGAGAATTGACAGATGTAGAAAATCAAACCACTAATTTTCAACTATTAAAGGTTGCATACTATCAAATACTTACACCTAGAAATATATTCCTGGACGAGTCGAACCCTGCGGCGTATATGCGACAGTTGTTGACGTCGTTACGGTCCGCTATGATCCGACAAGCGAACCGCGATATCGTGCTCTGCATCACCTTTGTGTCACCGCTTTTGTCGCCAGCAACCGTGTCCATCACAACAAAGTCTATTGGAGGCTCTGATGATCTCCCAATCTGCGGACAAAATACGAAACAATAACTGAAATTATTCCCCAAAAAAAAATCAGTATTGATAACCCTCTTATCAACAAAAACGTTACACATCCAATAAACCTATTTTAACCATTTAAGTACTTTGTCTTTTGCGATAAATTCTCAATTAGAAAGTAAATGGCTCCAGTAGTTAAACCAGTATTGTTTTAATTTGTATTTTTTTTTTATGAATAAGACCGTTAATGTGAGAACTTTTGGATGTGGAATCAGTATGAAAGTAAATCTTAAAAAAAACATTAAATCTGTTAACAGTTAACATAAATGCACAAAAAATATCGTCTAATTTATAACTTCATATGGTCTTTGCTTCAAATTCTCTTAGCGGCTTCAAAAAGAGGAAGAAGTTATCAAATTGTATTCTTTCATTATGCCATATCATCGTCAATTCTGAACCTATTTCGATAATTATTGTGAACTTGATATAGCAATACAATAAATCAAAGGAGCAATATCCTCCTTTAAGTCTGTTAATTACACTTCTAAAGACTATTTTGTATAATTTGTCTAAGCACCACAAAAAATAACAACAGTAGCAAACGCTTAGGGATCTCACGGCCATCACAGCAAAATTTGTGATGTTAATGCTTCGAGTTAACATTTTAATGAGTGCTTAAATGCATGTTTATTTCCCATTAGTGACAAAATTAGTGGTAGATATTTGTGGAACCGCTTTTTACTTTGATACGGAATTCTTAAATCTTATAGATATAACATAGTCGATTTATAAAGTGCTTGTAAGTTATTGTGTTATATCATGATAACAACAATTTATTGAGTTACTTATAGATATTTTTGCACTTAAGTTTTTGTTCTGAGAATACTTGCATTTGCAATCACTTTCGTCGATAAGAAAATATCTAGGTGGTTTCCATTCATTGACGCATTATGTCACAGAACATTATCTACAGATTGCGGTAAAAAAGGAATTCTTTACTATATATTTGGTAATTTATTACTTAAATATATTGTCATAGTCGTAGAATACTCACGGATATATATATGTAATCTTTGTCAGATCCGTCAGTATTCTACGACTATGACGATATTGTTTGTCATCTTTATAGTATTAAAAAAATCGTAAACCAATATATACGAAAAGAATCTCATAATTAAACGCATTTATCGCTCTTTAAAGAATGCATTAAATACAATATTACAACTTAATGACGATGATGATAATGGGAGTCGTAAATTGAATGGACATATAATGGTGTCCATTAAAAAAGGGGAATCGATTGTCCGATAATAAAGATGTAAATTGTGTGTAGAATTGATACGCTCACACGCGACGAGTTACGAAAAAGAATGAAGCATGATGTATGGAAGGAAGGAAGCTGTGGCGTAATGATAGATATTCAAAGATGTTCAATATACATCTTGACTACAATCGTTAATTCCACAGCAACAATCAGCAATGCACGGGCGACGGGTGTGAAGGCTACCTTACGTCAGGCGTTCCGCTGCGCGCCCGCGTCGCTCTAATTGTCAATAACAGAGTGGGATGGAAAGAGCCACGTCTCAAAGTTCCTACCATTAGTAATCTGTGGTATGCACTAGATATCCAGACAACAGATAATTAGGAAGTTGGATAGCACAGCTAATAAAAGAATCGTGCAAGCAACTACGCTTGCATGGACGTTTCCTGCCGGTTTGATGTGTGAAATGACTTACTGTATACGGGTGGACCCTAGCTTTATTTCTTTAGAAATACAATGCAGAACTACTCAGGGCATCCTCGCCACTGATGTTAAAAATATGTCAATATCTAAAGAACCGTCAGTTTGCTCGCTATTCCATTTCGTATAAAAATATGACCCAGAAATAGAAGTTCATTTTAGAAGTATAATATTTTTGGGAGCCAACTTATTCGTTTTCCCCTGTGCACACGTTCCACACAGGCGACTACTTTTATTTGACTTTTACGAAAATTTCCTTTTATCGAATTCCTCACTCCTGTCTTACTCCCGGGAGCAATGAATATTTGCCGTCTGGCAGCTACACATTCCATTAGTTCATTATATTTATTCATTCTTGAAAAAAAAACCGCATATTTGGGTTCTTGTTTCCAACCCAGCTCTTATTACTTTACAAATGAACGCTTACAGTTATTCTACTAACGAAATGTATATGACGATACCAAATAGATTTAAAACTAAAATACCATAGACAAACATTGGGTAATTGAAATTCGATATACATCGAATATGAAATATAGAATTTAACTACGAGAAACTTATATCTGTCAATAAAAGTTAAATTACAAACCATATCAAAGGTAAACATAGAATGTCGCTTGAGCATTCTGCTTATTGACTTATGGGTATGGATTTTAGAATACGAATGTCAATGACTGAAAGAATGTTCGTTTGCAAATTACTAATGCTGTGGTAATTGCTAAAAAAATGAGAATGTAGATTGGCGTGATTGAAGCCGCATTGCCGTCGTTCTGTTGGGTAATGTGACGCAGCGGCCGGCGCGCCGTCGCTTGCGTCACGCGAGTAACTTCGACGCAGCCGATGTATGCAGCGTCAACCAAATGCCATACATTGCAACCTCCATTATTTACTTATGAAACTACATTGGGTATAATCGATTAGATGACCTTTACTCAAGGATGGTTTATGATAAACAACTGATTATGAAAACTAGTACACTAGGTCTACATGCCTAGTTATAAACAATGCAGTAATCAATAGCATTTTTGAGAAACAGTGGTAGTTTGTTAATGCTTGCTAATTGTTGACAGTGTCTAGCATTGATTTTTTTTTAATGTAAGCACATAAGACTGTTGAAACATTCATGTACGTACGAATATAGACGAAGAAAATTTTTTTAATAAAATAGGACGTAATATTAACATAATTTATTAATAATATATAATGTATTTCTTATAATAAGGACGGCTTTACTGCGTACTTATTATTAGTTTGAAGGTTATTTTTTATATATATAATCCTGTACACCATCCTCGTAATGGTTTGTAAAGCTGTAGTTGGGGTCAAAAGGACAAGAGGATTAGAGGGTTGCCTTTTACCGACCTCCTTATTTATGGCATTCTACTATACTCGTATTCTCATTGACCTGAACTGTATGTTATTAAAGTACAAATTGTACGACTGCAGACATATTAGGATAATATTTCGATTCTATACAAAATAAAATCCACTATTCATGAGGTAAAGAATGACAAGCACCTAAAGGTGGATAGAGACTAAAATAACAAAGAGGAAAAGAGCAAAAATATACAATCAATAGAAAAAATTTAGAGATATACATTGCAAAGAGCCATTTATAGGCTCTTAACAAATTTACATTGAAAAAATATTAGAGAAATAGAAAACAACAATACATAATAAACTAAATTTCATTTAAACTTTAGTAAGATATCCTAAACTCGACGCCTAAAACGCCCGTGTTTTGTCATCATCAATCAAAAACCTGTTACAAAATACCAGTCGAAACCATTGAGTAATCATTTTTTTTTCAACCGTTGAAACCAGAGAATTGGGCCAGAGAGCGTGACGAGGCGATAGCTTAAAGGTGTTGAAGATTATATTATCGCTTCGCGGTTATGTCTGAATTATCGCTTTCCGTTATGTCTGACTTAGTACCTTTATAGCATGGCTAATCTTATCTTAAAACAAGTTTAGCATAAACCAAAACAATTGTAATTACTTCGCGTGTAAAGAGATAAGAATGCGTACGTTTTTTATAGTTTCCGAGAAGCTATTAATTACGTTTTGTGCGAAATTTGTTGTATTGAAATTTGTTTTAGATATTTTTTTAGATTTCGAAGAGCAAAGATAACTCATAATAACTCTGGATAGTTTTAATTCTGATAAATTTAATAATATAAGCAAATTACGAGAAATTATTATCATCAAAATTTTATAAAAGTAACAAGTAGCCAATAACATATTGGAATCCAACATATATCAAACTGATTTATTCTATTCCCTGTATAATAATTGCTTGTACTTAGGTTTAAGAATAGAAGGATTATACATTGTAAATAAAAACTAACATTATCTACCATTCATGACTAACATTAACTGCATTGATGTAGTCAATATTGTTAGATGTTTTTAAATCATTGTTAAACCGCTAACTTTATTTTAAATATAAATAATAAACTAGCTAATAAAGTTATATAAGTATACTATTTAGTGTACTACGTAATTGCAGTTACGTTTGATATCAACATACCACAAATGAAATCACCTGAAGTAGATATAATACTTCAAATTTTATATTTATAACTGCAAACGTTCAAATGGGCTTTAATGGTCAATGTAACTTGCATGCTCCGTTGGTCTTATTCCTTCATAGAGGTCTTGGTCTAGTGAACCATAACATTCATAGTTCCACTCACATAACCCATTCAGAGTGCTAATGTTCTTTACATTATATGTGTTACGAAATGATTAATATTTATGATTTATTCTATAAACTAAAAAAAGAAACGACTATTTTTACATATATATTGTTGATGTTCAAGACAAAGTAACACCGAGTACGAAATGAATTTTTCAATACAACCCTAAAATCATTGAAAAATATTAATTTAAATTTCTTTACGGTTAATCCAGTTAATTGGAAAATACAAATTATTAATTTAAGTAGTTCTTTAAATGATATTTTTATTAGAATCAACTACCACACTATAAATCTGTACACATCGCCATACAAGTCGACTATTGCAAAATCATTTGCAGTATCTTCTTACACACTGCACGATAAATCCGATACAATATTAGGACTAAAATGATTAATCAACAGTTTGAGAAGTGACACATATTGAGTGTTCATTACGATGATTCATAATAACAGAATGTCATGGCATTTTAAGCGGACGTAGTTCTAAGAACCTTTACCAACTCCAGATAATACCATTGACACTACACAAAGAAATAAAAATATAAACGAAGAAATAGTACCCAATACACCAAAATATAGTGAAA